CTCTGAGATTAGCAAGCCTATTCTCTGGATGGCTGCATGGGAGAAGGGCAGGGAGGAATTCGATCACAGGCACTTTGATTGCCTTAAAGCCCCTGCCGTAAGAGTACATCGAAAAGCAGAATTCTTGTCTTTTTCCCTTCTCTTCTATTTGTATTTGTCCGTGCAGAAGCCATTTTACGATCTCAAAACTACGTGATTTAATTTTTTAAATTAAAATTTTAAATAATATTAATCTTTTGCACAATATTCCTAAAATACAAGTTTTAAAATTAGAGTATTTTATTTTTAAAATTGAGTACAACTTTTAAACTGTGCTAAGTTTTTGAAGTAAATTACTCTACTTATATTTAAAATAAAAAATTTTATTATATATAATATTACATATCTAGTAGATATTTTTTTATATATTAAAATATAGAATGTAATATATTATGTATGTTACATTTTATTATATTAACACATATAATATATATGTATATATATATATATGTACATATAATGTATATTATATATTTATGCATATAATATAGAATTTTATTTAATGTATTATTTTATATGTTATACATACATATGTAATGTACACATACATATCTAATGTGCGTGTATTATATATATATATATATCATTATTGATATTTTTAACTATTTTTTATTTTAATTTTTTACATTGAATATCATCAATTCAATTCTATATAACTTATTTTTAATTTTTCTTTATTTGAAATTCTAACATTCTATTTTTTACATGGACATTTATCTAAAAAATAATATATAAAAAAAATATAAATTTATAAATACATCTCAAAAAAACATATAATAAAAGAATGATATCTTATTATTTATAAAATATTATCTCTCAAAATATATATCTCAATTTTAAAAATATATATTTTTAAAATTGAGAAGGAATAGCTCATAAGAGTTTTCGAGTAGCCTCCCTGGAGCAACAAGGAGGCTAGTTGCATGAAGGATTGTTTGGCCAAAGCCAATTACTGTAGCAGAAATTGTTAAACTGTTGAGGTGGTGATTTGAAATATTCACCTCAACGTCCAAATCTACACCAACTCAACACTTCTTATTACAATAAATTGAGTGCATGGAAATGAAAGTTCCCCATGATGCAACAATTTATACTTGTTATGATCTTTACATTGCAACTATCCAATACGATTATTTGGATCACAAAGGCGAAAAATAGCCTTGAGAAAGTTACAAAACACACGTCACTGAGATACAATCCTCATCTTTGTTCTTTGCCATATATACTGAACCATTTGTTTCTCCAACTCTATCCATCGTGATGAGACCACTAAACTTAATTTCTTTTCATGGTTGGAATCATATTTACATTTTTATTATAGTTTTTGACTAATGCTCGGGAAATAAAATTGTTAAAATTTTCCTTACGAGTATTTTTACTGAAATCCAAATCTTGGTTCTCCTCGTAAAGCGCAGCTCGTTTAGCATAGCGCCCATCCTACCGTGGGTCACTAAAATTCTGTTAGCAAGAACAACTGCATCTTCCAATCCTTGCCCAAGGATTAGACCCATCACCTGCGTAGCATTCTCCTCCGCCCACAGTTGACATTTTTATCATAACGATTAGAATATAAAATAAAGTGACATGTGATACAACAGAATCGCGAAAAAATGAAAATAAGAATAAAAATTTTAGAAAATAATATTTGATAAATATTCTAAGATGAGAATTTTGTTTCCTCGTGTAAGAGTAGTCGGATTTCATCTTTTGATAAATTCTTTATTTAAGTATAAATTATTATAATATTTTTTATTTTTTAAATAAATGACAAAAATATTTTATATATAAAAAAATTATAAATATTTATAATATTATATGTTATATATATGTATCTATTATAATATAATAAATTATATAATATGAAATATTATATATATTATATAATTTATTATATTTATATAATATAATATATACATACTAACTTATTATATATATACATACATGTATACACACACACACACACACACACACATATATTAATATATATATGAATTTAATATTTTAATAGTAGAATAAAATATAATTTTTTAAGTTTTTAATATTTTGAAAATATATTACAAGTTAATTTTTTAATTTTTAAATTATTATAACAAAAAGTATTTTTGTCTTTAAATATTTTTTTATGTTCTTTCCTACTTTTATTCTAACATATCAAATATAATAATAAAATAAGAATATTCATTCTATCAACGTGTACCAAATAAAATCTTAATTCTATTTTATTTTATTCCCACTCTCATTTCTATTCCGTCAAATTATTATATTCTACTATACGTCACTTAAAAGAAAAACAACTGCCGTGCGTGTTAAATTCTATCTATGACATATCCAAATTTTAAAAATTTATGCAAATATTTATGTTTTTAAAATTTTAGAAATTAAATAACTTGGGAATTTTTCTGTAACACCCAGCCATAAATCCACGTGCAGCAAAGCTCAGTGCTCAGTCCTGGCAGAAAGCCTCGTCTTGCTGGCTTAACATTTGATATGATTCTGAGAACTATGACTCTAGATATATATTATTTGATCACAAATAATAAAATAAATAATACCCATTGCCAATTTATCATGGTAAGTTGGTTGGCAAGCTACTTGGAGTGTAAATACTCTCTCTCTGTAACCTGACCATCACATCCTGTCCAGATAACTTCAATCCCAGGTTTTTCCTTTCAAGCAACACAAGGAGGGCAGCTAGACGTGCAAAGTAGAGACTTTCGAACATTAGTACAACTGATAATACAGAAATTGCAGGGACTGAAAGCAACTTGTTCAAATACAAATCATTTTTTCTGCTAACTTACGCATAATTTACGACATTTATTTACCAAGCCTTCATGTTTGGACTACTCTTTCTGCTCTTATTAATTCATATATATGGAAAAAGAAAACTGCGTACGCATGCAGGCGTGCACGCAAGCTCACTTTTTGCAGGGTGGCAATGGAGAACACATAGACAGTCGTTTCCGACAAATGCACTTGCCGAAAAATTCGTTGGTGGTATCGGACCGCACAAATGGTTGTGACTTACATTCAATTGTTGAAGCCCAGAAATGTTTTTTGGTAGTGTCCCATGTATTAAATTTCTTGACAGGTCCAAGGACTGCAACAACTCTGGAATCTTTAACCTCTCCATAGGGAACCGAATCCGATTAAAGGACGCCCAAAAACCCGCCAAAAATTCGGTCTGGTTCAGCAGTTGGACCGGGCTACCTTTTATCTCGTTATCCGATAGATCAATGTAGTCGTAGAAGTACGTCTCCGATGGCCGCCACTCATCAAGCTTCATCTTGATTCACACCCAGCTAGCTTCAGAGAGTAAATAATGGGAGAAGAAGTTACCCATTCCGGAATTTTACGCAGGTTGAACCGATTGTAGGACAAGTCTAGCGATTCGATGCCTTTCACCTTCATTTCTGGAAACGGGTCGACCAGGAAATTATGTGATAAATCCAAATTAAAGATTTTGGTGAGATTTATAAATCTTTTCGGCACTCTCCCGACAAACGATTCCATGAAAGATTCAACGTATCAAGCTGCCGAAAGTTTCCATAAAATCGGGGATTTGTCCGGTGAGGGCATTGTGACTTAGATCTAGTTCGTAAAGTGTTGGTGCCAGGGCTGAAATTGTGGCCGGAATTTTGCCGGAGAGTTTGTTATTCGAAAGCCTGATGGTCCAGAAGCGGGAAAACGACGAGAAACTGTCGGGTATCGATCCGCTGAGTCGGTTCCGGTCTAAAGCTAGATAACTCAGGTTCTTTAGTTGCCCATTCCATAAGGTATGGTGCCCGTGAGACAATTGCCGCTTAGGTCCAGCTGATCTAGTTGGCTCAACTTGGAGATTGAACTCGGTATCCGGCCCGAAAGCGGTTCCCGGATAGACCCAACGCGTAGAGTTGGGTCGCGTTCCCAATGTTTTCGGGTATTGGACCCCATAGTTTACCGTTTTGCAAATAAACGAATTGAAGATCTGGTAGATTGAAAAGCGAATTGGAATAGGACCCGAAATATTTCGGAGATTTATGAGGTAAATTCCAATTAAGTATCGCAGTTTTGAGATAGAAGGTGAGATAATACCCGACAAAAAGCTATTAGGTTTGTCAGGTAGGTCGGAAAAGTCGAGAATAAAAACCCGGTTTTTGTCATCACAACGGACACCATACCAAGTAGCGCAGCAGTTGGTGCCCGGTTTTCACGAGTCAAGCACACCCAGAGGATCGGAGGTAATGCCCGACTTGAAACCCAATAAGCCGGCCTGGTCGTCCACGTCGCATGCGGGTGCCGTGGCAGTGAGGGACCAGAGGGTAGAGAAGGAGAGGAGTAGTAGAATGTGGGGGAGAAGAGAGTAGGAGAAGGATGACATGGTGAAATTGGATTGATATTCCGAAGGCTGTCTTTGAAAGTTATTTGTAGCATTACAAGGTTGTACCATAGAATTTGAATATGCCACTTGCATTTGCAGAAGCTTCCCAGCAATAATTAATTCAACTTTTATTTAATTATTTTTATAAATTTTGGCTTACATTAATCGAATTTCACTCCCCAAGACAAGCTATAAACCCGCAGCCTGAATTTCAGCAGCGATTGGATTGACTAGACAATTATCTTTATGTAATTTTTTAAATATTTTGGAGAAAATTAACTTAAATTTTTGAGAAAAAAAATCTACACAGCTTGAAGAGAGTTCTCTTGTTTTTCTTTTTGGGATAATAAAGAAAAATGGTGGAGTAAATGGCGATTAAAATAGGTAAAATACAATCACAAATAGATTTTTCCATAATTTTCCAATTAAATTATCCGTGGAAACCAACGAAGAGGAAGTAGGGAAGACGCTTCAAGGACGCGCCTTCCGGTGCATGCCACATGGCACGTGCCTCCGCGGCCTTGGCTCTCCCGCTCATTTATCTTTTTCACTTTCGTACACAAGCTATAATCAACGCTTTTTTTTTTTTTAAGATTGAACCGGAACAGTGATCTCATTGATTACAGATCTAATTGATAAAATCGGTATTCAACTGATACTATATTATAAATATATTTAATTTAAATATATATTTATAAATTATTATAAATAATGTAAAAATAAGAAATTAAGATAAAAAATTTAAAATTTAATAATTTTTTTATTATAATTATTTATAAATTTTATATTCAAAAATTAAGAAAAGTAAATTTAACCAAAACAGAACTTAATTGAACAAATTATAACTTAAAAGAAAAAATAAAAGGTTAAATAATAATTTTTTTAAAATTTAATAATAAAAGTAATTTTTTTAAATGACTAAAATATTTTTTTTTTAAAATCAAAATCTCAAATATTCAGTTACAAACTTTAACTTTTCCATTTCTTTTCTTTCATTTATTTTTGTTTCTTTCTTTCCTTAGTGCAGGCACCTGGATTTCTGATTTTTCTATTTTGTGTCTTCTTTTCTTTTTCCACAGTGGTATCCAAAAAATTAAAAACCTCTTTATTGTGCTTTAAAATTATCAATTTTGGTTTAATGATTTTAAAAGTCTCTTTAAAAGAGGGAGAGAGAGAAAATTAATCAAACAAATAAATTGATTTTTCTGATTTTTCCTAAATTTGACCAATTTTTAGTGTTAAAATATTAACGATTTTTTTTCAAGCAACTGGATCGAAGAGCCTGCAGGTTCTTAGTTGCACCGAACCGATCTAGTTCAATTTTCAAAACACTGACTATAACATATTAGGATGACATAGGCCAAAAAATTATATGTATATATAATTATATTTTTTTAATATGATATTTGCAATATTAATATATAAATAAAATTGCGGGTTAATATATAAATTTTGTAATGGTATGATCAAATACAAGAACTTATATATGGGAAAAATACAATGGATTAAACATATAAAATTGATTTATATAAGTTATACAATGTTTGAATTAAAAATGATAAATATAAGATAAATTTTCAGATCAAAACTTGATAGAAATATCTTAAATAAATTATCTTATCCCCTTATTTAACCCAAAAAAAAAAACATTATTTTGTTTTACAAAACAAGAAATTATAAGACGCAGAGCAGAGGACTAATTGTCCAACTGTAACACTTGCCCAACCAAATGAAATCTTTCAAATAGCCAAGTGTTCTAAACTTCACCATTAATTCATTACATTGGGCGCTTGCATCTAGTACCCATTCCACAAGTTAGTGATTTAACTGTGTTTGACATTCATTACCTTCGGCAATAATAATAATAATAATAAAAGAAGTATCAATTGATGTAAATACAAAGTACTTATACTATTTTTCATACCGTCGATTTAGTCAAAATCTACAAAAGATATTAATTGACATTAATTTCCAATAACTTCCAACAGATAAAATTATTGTTATTCGTTAATTTTGACCAATTCAACGGTGCAAGATGTGGTGTAAATATCTTGTATTTATACTAAGTATCAATTGATCCTTCCTCTAATGATAATAATAATCTGAATCTGGGTTAGCTATTCTCACTATTTGATTTAACATGAAAACATATAAAAAAATTGACAACCAAAAAGAAAAAAAAAAAGGGTTTATTGTGAATATAGTTTTAATATTTCTTAAGACTTTTTTGTTCTATTTTTCTATTTTTTTCTCTCAAACTTCAAATGTGACGTGCAGGAAGAAGAGAAAAAAATATCAAAAATACTTAAGTTTATCTTTTTATATATTTTTTTTTGAAATAAGCAAACAAAAAATAGTTTTTTAAAGAAATTAAACACTATTAAATATAGAGATTTTTTCTTCCCTCATAAAAATACAAATCCAAAACTCCTGCCAATCCATTACAAGTTATGTTACTAGTATGGTAGTGTTTTGAGAGAACTTTTTGTAAAATTTTTTAAAAATAGATTATTTTATCTTTAAATATTTATATCTTCTTGTGTGTGCGTCTGTGTTTTGTTCCATTTCTGTTATTTGCAACCGATTGTCGCTAGATTGCTACAGATGGTTGCTCACCGTGGTCCCTGATCGGGCCGAAGTCACAGAGGGTTGCCCACTGTACCCGTGTGGCCAAAGGGATTGCAAAGGTATTTGTTAAATCAAACTAAATTAATTAAATCAAATAAATTAAATTAAATTATAATTTAATTTTATTTTTATATAAGTTATATTTTTATTTAGATCAGTTTTTTTTTCTTTTTTTACAATTTTATTTATGGTTTTAATCATTAAACTGAATTGTATAAACTGAATCAAATCAAAATTTATATTTGAGTTTGCAATTTAATTATTCAACTTTCTTATTCTTTTGTTATGATCCCTCTACTTTTTTTTCTATCATTTTAGTTCCCAATCTTCTTTTCTTTTCTTTTTTAATTTTTTTCTTTCATGGCCTTCTAAACTTCTAATTCTTTCAAATAATCCATGTTTAATTTAAATTTATTGAATTTTCTTTGCCACCATGTTTTCTAATGATCAAATTTAATTAGTTTTAATTTAAGTCCACAATCATGTAAAGGTAAAAAGTTTAATAAATAGTTGTATGAACTTAATTTATAAATTATGATTTTAAATCGAACCAAATTATGAACAGTAGTTTGTTTTAATTTAATTTTTGAGAGTTCATAATTTAATTTAATTTTTAAAAATTATAAATTACGAGATATGATTTAATATAAAATTGAGTTTCAAATCAAACCAAATCGAACCGGACCACAAACACTCGTAAAGGGTTGGGTTCAAAATCTTAACTGTGGAAGTCCTTGAAGCTGACGGGAGCCCTTTGAATCCCTCCTACAACCTCCGTCATGCCATACAATCCCACCGGCTCAATTTGCCTCCAGGCTGCCTCCTCTCCTTCCGCCACCATCTTCTTTTCCGGCCACACCCCCCCCCCTCCCAATTTATATAAATAAAAAAAAAAGACTTCCCTGCATATCATCCCACAAACTCCATGCACCTCTATCCCTCAAGTCCCCTCCTCTCTCTCTCGTCATTGCCTCCCGGCTGACTTACTCCCCACCTCTCATCTCTCTATACTCTCTTTTTCTACTCATTCTAGTCATTGACCAGATAATCCCATTTCAGCCACTGCTACAACAACAAGCCTCCACCCAGACAATCGACCGAACACCTTTACCCCTGTATCCTCCATTCCCATTGGCCACACTTAACCGCCTCAATGTCTCTCTTATATATCCTTCCTCTCCAAATTCCCTCATTTTCTCTGTTCTTCGTCGAATCACCAATCAACCCATCACTCTCCATTGCCACATCGCCAATCCTCCATCCTCAACCTCCCTTGTTGGCAATCCTCCAAACCTTAACCATCTCGACTTCCACCATTCCCAGTTGTCCTTCTTACGCACATACAGCCGCTGTTGTTACTCCCTTTGCACCCTCACCACACTCGCTCACAATCTCCACTCCCATTGTTCAGCCCAAACACCCTATTGCAACACCTTGCTTCCTTCAGATATCAACGGGACTCTAGAAGCACGGATCTCACAGCAGTGGTTCAACATATACCACTACCACTTGTTGCTAGCTGTTATAGAAAGGCGTTCAGAGAAAAAGAGAGATAAGTGAAAGAGAGAAGAAAACGATGGGGATGAGAGACAAAAGAAGGGCGAATCTTCGTCAGCCAGAGTCTGTTGTCAAATTGTTAAGAGAGAGGAGCCCAGCTTGCGTTTGTCTGGAATTGGCAGAGGAGCCCAGCGTTGGAGGAAGATCATATCATAGGGGTATTTTTGAAATATTAAAATTTATTTAAGGATTAAAATGTCTAAATACTTTTAAAATAGCTTCCATAAATGCCACTTACTACAAAAAAAATACCCCTCCCCATCTTGAAAAATCCACTTCTGCTTCAGATTCTACTAACTTAGAAAAACAGAAATAAAAGCCAAAATCACTATTACAAACACCACGTTTTATTTATTTGTATCGGGCATTGCCACTGCACTTCCTAGAATCAGTTGCAAACACTCCACAAAAGGGGTTTGCGAGAACTTCTTTCTGACATATTTTAAAATCTATTTTTAAATTCTTCTTCTCTTCATTTAAATATAAAAAAATAAAAGTTAAAATAAATTTTAAAAATAGTGAAAAAGATGCTTCTAGATGTGAGTAGCATTATGAAACTAAATAAAAACTGTTTTGGAAAAATTTTTTTGAACTCTTATTTAAATCCAAAATTATCCTATAAACTTTTTCAAATTTTTTTTTCATAAAAAAATTACAAAAATTATATAGTAAGAAAAAAAGATCAATTGATACTTAGTGTAAATACAATAGTGTAAATACAAGATACTCACACCACATATTAATTTGGTCAAAATCAATTGATGACATTAATTGACATTAATTTTCAACAACTTACAACAAATAAAATTAATATCATCCGTTAATTTTGACAAAATTAACAGTGTAAAGCATAATATAAGTGTCTTACACTTATATTAGATATCAATTGATCATTTCTCATATAACAAATACTAAATTTACTACTTTTGACACATTTATAACATATTTTACAAAAACATCTAACTTTTGATTATAATACACTTCTACCCACTTTTACATTAACCTCTAACTTCTAATTTTCCAAAAGAATTTGCAAAACACCACTTGAAGTACATGTTTGCAAGAGCTAATTTTTTAGCTTCTCCCTAAAAAAAATATATAATTTTACTTATTTGAAATTCCTCTACATGAGTTATTTTTCTTTTAAAATTCATTCCAAAATAATTAAAAGTAGAAGTAATCGAACTTTTACTTTTTGTAACTAATAATATAATTATCAATAATTTCAATTATTATTGAGAAAATATATCCTATTATTTTAATTAAAATTTTAATTCACCCTTACTATAAAAACCATACATATTTTTAATTAAATAAATAAATAATTTAAATATTTTAACATAATAAATAATTATTACAACTATTTTACTAATCATTCATATATTAAATTTTTCTACTTTTCAATAAAATTTATAAATATACCCAACTTTTACACTTCCAATATTTTTTTACACTTTCAGAATAAGCTCTAAATTCAAACATAACCTCATCCTTGCTTTATTGGAACTCGTGCCATAGAGTTATAGTTGAACTCCCAATTCATTTAACTCGGTCAAGTAGTTAAAAAAAACCGGGTGATATCATATGAAGAAATTTGACCCGTTATAACTGTTTTTAAGTCTCCCAAAGTAAAGAGATTTAGAAAACAGGTAAAAGAGTTTTCTTTTGTTATTGCAATTATATTTTTCTATATAATAAATCGAGAAAAAAGCTATTTATTTTATATTTGTTACACCATATACATCTCATACTCCTGTTTAGACACCCGATTTTCATGAATGAACCAACATTATTTCTTTCTCCTGCAACAATGTTTACCGAGGTCAAATATCTTCTCCGTATGAGTTCTACTTTTCCAACAAACCCAATCGTTTTCCTCCCTTGTACCATCATGTTCTCCATCAACATCACCGTCATCTAATGAAAACCTTATTTTTTTTGTTCCCCTCCTTCCTTTGTTATTAATTTTTTTAGGGCGGTGAAATGAGGCAACTCATAAGACTTCATTCATTCAGTAAAAGTACTTTCGCCATAAAGTTGCTAACCAAGGCAATAAACCCCACGTCATCTTTTTCCTCTTGGAGCATGTTTGGTATGTGTATAAACCCAAATAAGATAAAACTATGCTGCAACAATTGTCTACATCTTATATTCGATACGTATAATATGGCCCTGACATGAAAACTCAAGCAAGATACTTACATGGCTAAAATAGGCTGCGCTATCTTGCGGGACAGGAAGTCAGGTATGCTTTATCCCCCTAAACAGTTTATCAAACTGATAATACTGTTTTTACTGATTACATGAAATTATCAAAATAACTAGTTCTCAATCACAACCGACAGCAACCCTTACCATCCAGCCACCATGGTGCCACCACCGGCATCAGTTGTCAACAGTGCCCATTTCAGCATACTTCCTGACCACCGCCATTGCCCCTAACTCCAAAACGTCGAAGATGAACACTCCTCCTGAAGTTCATCTTTCTGTCTACTTCTGCCTTGCTGGAATTGACTAAGATTGTCGAAGACAAGGAAAGGAGAAGAAATCTGCTTTTGCCTTGTTGGAATCAACAAAGAGGAAGAGAGGAGAAGATCAATGAAGATGAATGCTGACTGAAGAAGATTCTGGATGATTCTAATTGATGATCCACGAAGACAAATGTCGACCATCTGGATTTGGAAGACAGTTTGGATGAAGAGAAGAATAGAAGCGTCAGACAGTTTCATTGCTGCTTTTGTCAATCTCAATCTGGACGAATAAGGATAATTTGACAAAGAAACAGATGAAGAGAAAATAAGAAATTTGACAAAGACAAATGTTTTGGTCGAAAAGAATTCCAAACGATTCCAATTGAAAAAGATGAGCACTGAGAGTTTGGATTTGATAAGATAAAGCCAGCATTTCTTAATGAGAGGTTGTTGCAAATAAGGGTATGCTCAGGGTATGTTCAGGGCATGTTTGGTAGGGTAGACTAGATATGAGTAGGGTGGCCATTGATAATTTTATTATACTTGCAGAGTATTTTCAAATTTCATTCCTCATTCGGTATATCTTAACCCAGATAGGAGGAAATAACAAGATATTATTGAAATACAGATGTAGCTAATGCCAAATGCTTTCTACAATCCAGCATGACGAAAACAAACTTGCAATGAACTACTAGTTCCAGAGTAATTGCTCAACAAGATAAAGACGATACAAGTAGGGGAGACAAAACTTAACGGTAAAGAAGGCAAATTCATCTATTTACACATCAACACAAATAGCATTTCTTATAATAGAAGGATGGGGTTACACATGACCTTTTAATCTCCAAGAGATGCCTAAGCCAGGGACCACCAGTTGGCAACATGTAACATCTTTAATAAAGAAACAACTAGGGGTGTTCAAAACCGAACTGGACTGATTGGACCAAACCAAACCGAAAGGAATCGGTTTAATTGGGTTATAAGGTCCCATGAACCAATCGGTTTGGTTTGGTTCAGTTCAGTACTAGTTTTGTCTCAAAATAAAACTGAACCGAACCGAACTGTACCGAACCGATTCTATTTATTAATATATATATTATAGATATTATATATATATTTATATTTATATTGTATTTATATATATTATATTATATATATTTTATTTGTATTATATATATTTATATTTATATTGAAATTTTTTACAAATTAAAAAAAATTGAAAAACCGAACATGTCAACCTTTGGTTCGCTTTTTTGAAAAAAAAAAAAAAACCAATCATGTCCAATAAAAACCATAACCGACATGTTCGGTTCGGTTTGGTTTTAGATTGGTTTAGGTCCAAAACCAAACCCGTGAACACCCCTAGAAACAACACTTTCGAATTAGGCAACTAGAAGTACTCAACTGATTCAACCATATAAACAAATCAGGACAAGACAACAAGCACCCTTGAATTATCATTTCTTCATTATTTCAATTTGAAGACTGCATTTTTAGAAGGCATTTTGTTGAAATGAGAGAACTGTAATTCATCTCTAGTGAGACTAGGGTAGCAGTACAGGTTATAAAACATTTAACACAACACAAATATAGTGAGAGATTACTCAAACATAGCATGACAAGAACACATTTGATACAAATTTGCCACAATTCACCTCACTTTTGCGATAAACAATTTGGTAATAATATAGTTAAAATTTTTAGATATTCTAATACCGAGAACGGCCATGAACAAGACATGCAAACATGAGTCGTTCCACAGGGCAGGTGAAGTGATACTTGATGGCCTAAAAGCCCTTTGTGGATAATTCTACAATTATAAAATTAAACAAGTAAAACAATGCCACACCCAAAGTGCTTATACCAAGAAGCAATGCCTCTCAGCATGCTCCAGCCATCTGCAAAGAACCCCATAACTACCACATAGGTGCTGAAGCTTAAGTGCCTTGTGTGCTTCAAAGTGCTTATACCAAGAAGCAATGCCTCTCAGCATGCTCCAGCCATCTGTAAAGAACCCCATAACTACCACATAGGTGCTGAAGCTTAAGTGCCTTGTGTGCTTCAAGCATTGTGGAGCAGGTTTAGCCCCAACAAGGGGCTGTGAAAATTCAAGCCTCGACTTTTTAGGCAAGGTGGAGTTCTATCTGCCGAATCAACCCCTCCTTAGTAAACAAAAGCTGAATAATAATAATAATAATTATTATTATTATTAGTTAATTAATTAATTTAGTCAGATAAGAATTAGATAGGTGCACCCAACTATGATCAGATATGAACCAAATCAAATAACCAAAAATCTACACCAATGTTGATTCTAATCTCCAAAGACCAGTTCAAAGGTCCAAGGTCCTTCCCTTAACCTCAGTACCCAACATCATCAAACCTGTCTGTGATGTTGATTATAAATAAAAGAAGGTTATATCATATTTATTTCATAAAAGTAACTCCATAATTTGACACCAGGCAAAAGACTTTTATGTAGCGAAGGAGTTCAAATGCTAACAGAGTTGTTGCCAACAATTTACACGATACAACTAGTAAGTTTTTCAGGTTCATTGCACTCTAGAAAAATTCAAGATCTTATAGACAAGACATTTTGGAAAGTTCAAAAAACACAATACAATAAGCACAACCTTCTATACCTACAACATAAACTAGGATCTGATGCCAAATGCTGAAGGCTAAATATTGCTTCCCCACTTAAAGCTCCCTTTCTTACCATGAGCTACACTAGAGCGACAGAGAAATTTTTAGTTAGTTACTAACTGACTGCTGAAAAAAGTCAATAAGATGGATAATTGGTTGGCACATTTGTGCCAAAGCGGCTCAACCTAGATCGGCTAAAATCATCCTCTGTTGCCCCAAAATGTCTTCCAACCGTAATCCTACTGTTGCCATCAAATTGGGATTTATATCCATTAGGTTGGTGTACTACACCAGGAGGAACTGGCAATAATTACAATAATGGTTACAAAATGCATTAGAAGCAGAAAGAAACATTTCTCTAAAAAAGCATAATTGTGGAAGGCAAGTAGTTAAACAGTGCAAGAAAAAAGTAATCACCTTGTCCATAACTAATTTGTTCCGCTGAAAACCTACAGGAGGTGGATAACCTGGCTGCATGTTGAGAAACTTCTGTATTGTTGAATGGAACAGGTGGCAGCCCTCCTCTGGAAGAAGAATTCATTGTGGACACAGTTGCAGTGGACAAGTTTTGCGTTGGTTTGTCTTGCCCAGATATCTGTTTTTAATAATTAATATGTCAATTATATAACCTTAAATAGGACTCATTAGAATCAGGCCCTATCAAGATGACTCTTCTTCCCAATTCTAGCCTACTTCAAAAAGGTTCACGTTGACAGCATGATAATAATGACTTGAAGTCAAGTCACTATAGGCAAATGATAATGGAGCCATTTGATTCCACCCAAGAAGCAATAGTCAATCAACAGTTGACCAGCGCTTCTTGTAGGACTGGCACCACTGTTTTATTTGTCCTATACATAAATTCAAGACAGGCAACACATTATAAGAAGTACCAAATTAAGAAACTTAAGTAGTTCAATGAATAGACAAGTAGGACGCACCGCGAATTTGAGTGTCCGATTGTAGAGAGTCACAAGTCCAGAGAAAAGCCTGACTGCATAGCCTGCAATCTCTTCAGTCTCATATTCTGCAAAGGCATAACCTTTTGGTCGATCGGTTTCTTTATCACGAGGAATATACAAGTCCACCACTCGTCCGGCCTGAATGAGGATATCATATAGCACTCTATCACTGACTCTCTCATCCAAATTACCTACTTAGAGAAACATATTAAGAACAAGTAAGATAAATTCTCAACAAATAGATAAAATAATATTTACATGTGAATTGTATCACAAAGACAGATGGGTGCAGACTGCAAGGATGTCAGGAAGTGAAGTTAAAATTAAAGAAGTATATAGAAAACTGATTAATAATCAATCATCACAAAAATGCAACAAATTCATTCAAGAAAATAACAAATATATAAAAATTCAAGAAGCAAAATCAATAAGCACTCCTAGTGCAGGCATTGGCCTCTTGAAACAATGCCCACCACAACAAACACCAGCCTATTGATAATTGCAGCAGTGACACACCACAATGCAGTTGCAAAATATATATACTACCCCCAAAAAAAAAATAATGCTTGTTGAAGCTTTGCCCTACAAGCTAGCCAACCCACAATTGAGACTAATCTCAATTCAATTCTTTAATTCAGCAGCACCAACAATTGAATGGTACCATAGCCTACTTACGTAACATATGTCCTGCACAAATAACAAACCTGAACCACCAACTAGAATTTCTCTTTAATTAGTTTAAAATGTCTCCCCTAATCAAATACAGACTAAGATGTTTAGATAGCCCTTTGCGGCTACATGCAAACAACTATTCAATTACAAAAGCGTACATTATAAAGTTAAGAATGTTATTGCCGGAATGTGAATAACTACATAGCTCATTCTGTTAGTTGCAAACTTCCAGCGACCTATTTACTTCGTGGCGGAAGCTACTTATAAGACGGACATAAAATAATTCCAATACTTGACGAGCAGTATTACAATTGCCTATAGAGAACACAAATAGTAGTTCTTTCCCGTTGTTCGCTTTTTATGCAACCGATGGACAATATTAAACTCAAAAATTCCTTAAATATTTCACCAGTCACCACAACCAATTTCCGGAATATCATACTACATTATGCGGCATATACTCTTGAAGGTAAGTGATAGTTGGGGAAAATTTTGAAATCAAACCAAAGTTAACCTAAACCACCCTAACAGTTGATCATTAGAACACAACAGAAAATCCAATCAATAGCACAACATCCTAAGAGTTCAATACGCAGAAAGTAGTTCGAATCCCGGGCTTTTTTTATTCCCAATTGAAGTTAATCCGAACAATTTTCTCCCGGATAAAGCTTTCCTAGAAAAAATCTCCTTCAAACGGAGCACAAATTAAAGCAATTAACAAAATTACAGGAGAATTCGTAGGATCGAGGACTCACCGACGTAAACAGTGCAACTAGGGTTTTTAGCCATGCCTGGTCGAGAGAGAACTCTATCCTTCAAATTGTCGAAGCTTTCAATGGTCCGTGCTGATTGAGAGATAGACACTGTACGGGCTCATTTATAGGTCAACGGTTTTCATCACCGACATTGGCCACTGCTCAAGGAACCGGGACGTTCACCAGTTCCCGGGCCGGCTTTGATATCTGACGTGGTAAGTAATAAACGATCAATTTTGATATTTTTAAATATTTTATATTCTTGACTTAATAATAAAATTTCAAAATATTTAAATAAAATAAATAAAAAATATCTTTTCTCTTTGAAATTCTATGCAATCTATTTTTTTAAAAAAATTTATTATATTTTTATATCTCCTAAAACTATTAGTTTATATTTGATGCGTCGAAGTAATATTCTTTTTAGAAAAAAGAAAATAAAAAATAATCCTATGCCTAATTATATTAAAATAACAAATTCAACCAAATAATTACTTAAAAATATTTTGTACAATAAATTTATATTGTGACAGGATTATTACTAAATTTAGTATCTTTTACTTCTTAATTCTAATTTTTAACTACCCAGTTATTTTTATCATTATTTTTCTTCATATTTTTAAAAATTTTAAATAAAAAACAGGTGTTTCCATATTATTGGCTCTTCAACTCAAATGATGACATTTTAGACATGTAGTTGACAGGTGTATCCATATTATTGGTTCTCCAAAAGGTAATGGTAACTGGAAAATCTAGATCTCCTTGAGTCACGTTTAATTGACGTTAACTTCATACCTGATTAACGTGATAATATATTTTAGATTTTAAACATTCATGGGATTTTCGGCGTTTATATATAATAAAATAAATGGAACATTAAAATGAATATTTAAATATTAATTATTTGTTATTTATAGCAAGATTTTCATATTTTTATTCTCTATAAAATAGTTTTGGAAATAATAATTTAAATGAGCTTTTTATATATATAGCACATAAATATTTTATTTTTGAACATTAAAAAATTCAGCACTTGTCCTTGATCACGTTGAAGTTAACCTATCTTTTTATTATGAGATATTATTCGATATTTCTTTTATTGTTGATAGGACTACATAATTTACTAAATGATTTTTCTTTAAGAAGTCAACTTCATCCTCCAATACAATAAATACATGTATATCATATGTGATGTTTAAATATTAGTTAGGCAAAATGGTATTAAACTGTTTAGTTGATAATGAAAAAATTGCCGTACGTATTAAATGAAAACTTTGACTTAAATATTTTTTTGAACTAAGTAAATGAATTCTTATCATATCAAGAATTAAGTTCTCATCTCTTCAGGTAGCACATTAACGTTAAGCATATTTTTAGGGAATAAAATATTTTGCACTAATAAGCTTGCTAACTTGAGCCTTACCTGTGAGCCAAGAGATGGACTTCTTTCTTTATTTGGCCAATCACTTGTTTGGTACTCTGAATTAGATTATGATAAGATATGATAATATTTAAATAAAATATATTGATCGTATAATTTTTTAAATTATTATACTACATTTAGTTTATTTAACAAGAGTTCAGATAAATATATAAAATACCAAATTATCATTTTATGTATCTAGATAATAGACGATAGTGGACAGTGATAGTGGATGGCTAAGGCAATAGGCAATGGTGATAATGATGGTAGGAGGTGATGACTGACGGGCACTAGTGATGGTAGTGGATAGCGGTAGGCTATGATAGCTGGTGAATATTGGGAGTAATATTATCTAAATATGTTTGGAGGTAATATTGTCTAAATATGTTTAATGCAAATTGAATAAATTATCTCACATATTCCCCTCGTATAGTTTATTCAAATCTAACTAGATAATTATTTTGTCAAGACTTTTTATTCAATTTCATTATCCAATTTATCAAACATTAAAAAAAGTTGAGTGAACGCAAATAATTTATCTTTATCTATTTTTATTTAACTTGTCAAGCAAGCTCAAAAAGGACATTTATGGAAATTTTTACTCCCTAGATAACTCTAAAGTTCCTTTTTTTTAGTTTGAGCTTTGGCCCTTCATATCACCAAATAAATAAATAAATAAAATATAGAAAAAATATAAATAAATAATTCTTATTAAAAATAATGGTTAAAAACTTTAATATAAAATTCTAATAATTAAAAACTTATTAAAGTTAACTTATATGTGAAAAGATGCATCAACAAAGAAAATAATAAATAAATCATGTCATTATGTCAATTTATTAGTGCTATTGTCATTAATTATTTAAACCGAGTTAATTAGTATTCTTTATTCGGAAATTAATGGGACAGGTTTCCAAAAATGAAACTTAATCAATACCAAAAAAACTTATTTAATTTATCTCAAAGCTGACGAACTTTGCAAACAGGAACCCCTCATGTTGATTATGTTTTTAAATAATATTTATTAGGATAAGTGATGAAATTTTGTTCATATATTTCATATTATTAGGTTTAAAATAACAGTATCTTTTATTTTTTGAAGGGATACGAATATTTATTTTATATTTTGGAATCAAAATTATATCTTAATTTGTTTTTAATTAAAATTTCCGTACATAACACGAGGTTGATGTTAGCAAAGTAGTGACATAAATTCATAATGCATTTGCCAAGGATAATATATTAGAAAGACAACAACCGTTATAGAGATCAACGTCAAATTCAATTAATTTTATATTTATTTTTATTTATGTATTACAATCTAATAATTTGGTAAAAATATATTCTCAACATAAATCTTAAAAAATATTTTTAAAAAATAAATATTTTACTTTGAATATAATAAGCACTAAAAAATGAGGGAGTGGACAGCTTAGTTAATAAAACAATAAATAACTTTGCTAAAAAGAATAACTAATGAGGGGTAATGGTCCCTGAGCTTTGATATGACCTTCAATTTAGTACCTAGATTACAAAATTGTTTAATCAAATCCCTGGACTTTGTTGGGTTTCTCCAAACCTTTCAACCAATTAGACTTATTCATGGGCCTTGAATCGGCTTGAACCGGAACTGGACCACCGGTTTCGATCCTAAAAAATGATAAACCAAGACTGAAATTTTGAAAGTTGATTCGATTTCGATTCATTGTGTTTCGGTCCGGTTCATGGTTCCAGTTCATCACAGTTATAATTCTGGTTCTAGTTCCAGTTCCAATCTAGGCCAGTTCATGGTTTTGGTCCGAATCGGTTCATGATTTTGGTCTAGTTTGGTTTCAGTTCGTTCGCGGTTCATTCCTGATTCATCCGCAATTTTGGTTCCGATCCAGTTCATTTTTGATTCGTCCGTGGTTTGGTTCGATTCTTATTTGATTTTGTCGAAAAAATGTATATGTTAACTTATAAATATTTTTGGATTATTAAATATTTTTCAAATATTATAAATATTTAATTTTATAAATATCTTTCAAATACTAAATATGAAAAATAATAATAAAGAATTTGAACTTAATTGTGTATCAATTAAGTTGTCTACGTATTCTCTTAGGGTTTAGAGGAATCAAAACTCACGTAGTTCTCTTACCTTAATTAGTATACCCTCTTACTTTTTATCTTAATCTTTATTATCTCCAGTCCTGATTGTTCTCTATAATAAATTTTTGTTATCTACATATGGCCCTCGTTCAATCATTAAGACATGATTGATCTTCAACATTTGTTGAAAGCATGCTTGAGTGGATTTCATTTAATATTTGATCTTCTGCACTAAATCTTGTTCAACCAAAACTATTTAGATAGGTAATGCCAAGGTATCCTTCACTATGTGTAAATAAATCGAAAATTGACCTAATTTTTACTTCCATCGTCAAAGATTTTCAAAATATTCTTCTAAAACTGTATCTTACCCGCTAAACTTAAAAAAGTGATAAGTTAATTTTCAATTTTATCTAAATTTTCTATACTTGAGCCTGATGAGGTTTGTCTTAGTCTTTTTATTATTTCTAAATTCATTATTAATTATTTACCTTTACTCTTTTTTCACTATTAGGTTGATGATGATTTTGTTCATTAGATAGGGACAATATCTTTATATATTTGATAATATTTAATATATATTTTATTTAAAATATCATTTATCTTTCCTACTATTTTTGAAATATTACAAGATATTTTTACAGTATCATAATAAATATTTAATAAATCACGTAAGTTATCTATTTTAATACGAGGATCTAAAACTATAGCAATCAAATTAAGTTTAGGAATTTTTTTTGAAATAGTTAACCATTTTTTCTTCTATTGTATTAATAACTCCAAATTAAAAAAAAATCATGATCATAATTATACTTATATAAAACAGCAATAATACTAATAGGATAAGTTAATAATAAATGACTAGTAGAATAATAAATACCTAATAACACTTAAATACTAACATAACAAATTTTTGAAACGTTAATCAATTTCTTGCAAACACCCTATTATCCTGGATATAATGTCATTGGATTAACACGAGTAATAATAAAATTACGTAAGAATTTGAGTAGTGGAAGTAATTGAAACTGCTGCATCTACTACTAACAGAAATTTGTGTTTGTCTCTTATCAAATCCCATTTGAAATGGATATTTATTGATAAGATACATTTTTTACTATACCGTAATCTCCTCCTTTTTTTTCATGCAAAAGAACTGGTACAGTAGTTACATTATATCTTAATTTCTCTATATATTACTATCTTTTTGAAGTGAATTTTGAAAATTTTCAATTTTAATTCTGTGCTCGTTTCTGTTGGAAAAATGGGATTGGCATTTTCTTATTCAATTTCTAAATTAGCATCAATATTTTTGTATTGACTCTCTTCAATATAAATAAATATACATGATTATTCAAAACTTGTTAGAGAAATAGTTGATATATCAATAAATATTGTAAAAAAAAGTTTTAGGTTGAAAATTTTAAAAGATTGTATATCAATAGATATAAATTTCCCATGAGATTCGTTAACAAAATTTTTAGAAGAATTGGATACAAACAGACTTTTTAGAAAAATTTGATATAAATATTCTAAAATTTAATGAATTTGACATTTTACTATAAAAAAGTACAAATTAAGAGTAATAGTATAAAATTGTAAATAATTAACAAATTATGTAGTAAATCGAGAAGCTGAATATGTAACAATATATCTTAATGATTATATATATTTATAAATAATATTTATAGCGTTCACATGGAACGTTTGCATTCAATTTGAGGAAAGAGTCGCGCAAAATCTGCTAACGATGGGGATTGGGAGAAATTTTATAAAGAATCCCTGCTAAGCACAAAATTAAGTGAAATGCGTAAGAATTCTTTACCATATACAAGGATTCATTGCGGTAGGTAAACAGGGAATCCTGCAAATTTGTGGCAGGGATTCCTTGCCATAGTCACTGCCACATGCTTGTGGCGGTGATATTATAATTATATTTATATTAATGTTATATTAATTAAATGGTTTTTTTCATTTCGAGTCATTTGACCGAGTGAGAGTATTCAGTTTTGAATGGTTTGATGTAATGCTTCAAAATTGGGACAGAAGGTTTGATGTACGTCTAGAAAAAAAAGTACTGATTAGTTTTGAATGGTGGGAACATTTATGCTATTGTATAAAATAGTTAAAGTAATAAATTATTAAAATAAAAAATTTTATGTTTCATATAATAATTTATCATAAAATAAATAATTCATATTTTATAGGAAATATATATATTATTTAAAATTTAAAATTATATATTAAACATTATCAATATATTTAATTTTGAATATAAAATTACATGATAAAAGGAGGGTTTAATTAATAACTAAACTAATTGATTAATTACATAAAATTACATTAATTTAACTAAATTACATAAAATTATATTAATTAATTAATAATTTTGAATATAAAATTATATTTAATTTTTCGATTCATGGTTTACACTTTATTCATAATTACAATTCGCGGTTCATACATGATTCTGAATCCGGTTCATAATTCATTATTCACTTATGGTTCCGGTCCATGGTTCAATGTTCACAATTCGAATTTGTAATTCAAATCTGATGCAATTAACATGATTTTATTTGATTTCGATTCACTTGTTCTGACATAGTTTTAATTTTGATTCGGTGCGGATCAATGATTAATTTAAAATAATAAAGAGAGATGTAAGCTGATTTAACTAAATAATAATAATAATATATTTAGTTCATTAAAAAAAATCAAAATATAATCACATGCATGCCATAAAATGGTAAGTGACCTTAATAAAATAAAATAAAATATATTTTTATGAAATATCCAGGTAATGCTGTAAAATAGATAATTAGGTAAAGGGTTAGTCAGGTATATTCCAAGTATATTCTCTAACCACATTTACATAATATTATTATCATGGAAAAATATCCTCCTACCTAACTCTAGAATTGGGCCTTTTTTTAATTATTTCATAAATCATTTTGCTATTTATTTCTAAATGTAAGTATGAAATTAATACAATATTAACATTATTAAATTCTAATTTCTTTGTGCATTGCATGGTCTACCATCTAGCTTTATTTATTTATGATCCTAATCGTTTTATTTTTTATTGTTAGTAAAAATACAAATATTTTTAAGAAAATTATTGAAAGCATTCTATAATATTAAAAATACTTGAGAAATACTATCAATTTCAAATTTTAATTTTGGAAATAGCCTAGAAAAGCAAATTTCTACTCAAAGAGAATGGATCAATTGACACCAGATATAAGTATAAAGACTTACACTACATCTTACAACGTTGATTTGGTCAAAATTAACGATATAGATTAGTTACAGCTGATTTAAATACAAATTAATTATTAGAAATTAGTGGAAGACAGTTGTAATTAATTTACACCGTTGATTTTGACCAAATCAATTGTGTAAATCTTTTACACTTACACTTAGTATCAATTGATTCCTTCTCTTTTTCAAAACTTACAAATTGTACTTACCAAAACTTTTTTTTATTATAAAAAAGCCAAAACTCAAAATTAAAAAAACAAATTATATCTAGTTATATGGGGGAATATAAACTCTTACAGAATCATCTAAAAAAAATACCACCCAATTGGGTTGAATCATATAAACTCTTACAGAATCATCTAAAAAAAATTTGATAGCAATTCGGCACATCTACCTCCTTCTCTAAGAGGATATTTGACCTACACTTGCCACTCAAGTTACCGAAGAGATTTGATTCCTGCTATCATAGCCATTGTCCTGATGCTTCCACGAAGACTTCCCCAACCATGCCAGCCACCGATCTCGAGTCAAGTTTAAGGATTACTTTCCTTAAATCCATAATCCAAGTAAGGAATTGCTTTTCTCAAACTCATACCCCAAGCAACCTTGAGGCCCTTGCACTGACCCCAAGTCCCACATTATCAATATTTTTAGTAAATCCTCTAATTTACATTTTCTTGAGATCTTCTATTAATTAATAGTAAAAATGACAAAAATATTATAACATTTTATGAAATATAATAATTTATTTGATATTTTAAATCTAACAAATTTATTATTTTTAATTTTTTCAAAAATATAATATTCAACTAATTTTATGACATGATATATGTGTGTGTGTGTGTGTGTGTTTTTAAAGGGGTGTGATATTTTTAATTAGAATCCAATGAGAGATATTTTGATGCATTGAGCACGGGACGTGGTATTTTCAGGAATTAATAGAGGAATTTTTTTAAATCATAATATTATCTCACTAAATTTATCAAAATGAGAACGTTATTTTACAAATTTTTAAATGTTTTATCAACCAAATTGATGCCACGTGTTACCAAAACCGTCATCTAAGTAAAATCATGTATTTAATATTCATTAAATGAATGGGTTAATTAAAATATAATTTAAATCATATTCGCGAAAATATAAATATTTTTATCAATTGATAACTACAAGTTGAGAAGATAATACAAATTAAAAAAGCAGAAGATTCGTAGATGGGTTGTTATTTAGATGTCCACGTGTTCCGATGAAGCACCATCTTCCATACCAAGTCTCCGTTCAATCGAAGCTCCAAGTAGCACTATCCAGTTCTCACTCAGTCCCCACTCTCCCCCGCCATGGCAGAACAAACCGATCATCGCCGTCCCATGAAGATCATCGCCGGCGCCGACTCCTTCGGCTGCGACCTGAAGGACGCCCTTGTCGCCCACCTCCGGTCCCTCAACATCGATGTCGAGGACCTCGGCACCAACAAGTACTACTCCGCCGGCGAGGAGGTCGGCCGCCGCGTCAGCTCCGCCGCCTCTGCCGGCGATTCTTCCGTCGAGACACGTGGACTCGTCGCCTGCGGCACCGGAGTCGGTGTCTCGATTTTCGCCAACAAGTTCCCCGGCGTCTACGCCGCCACCTGCCTCACCGCCGGCGAGGCCCAGAACACCCGCTCCATCAACAACTGCAACGTCCTCGCCGTATCCGGCATGTCCACTTCGCCGGAATCCGCCGTCGAGATCCTTAATACCTGGTTGAACACCCCCTTTAGATCTCCGTGCCCTGCCTCCGACTCTAAGCCCTGGTCTCCCGAAATTGATTCTTTCTTCGAGAACTCAGTCGCTGAAATGTCCCATATCGGATCCAATTCGACCGTCCCCACGGAGACTTGCGCGATTTGCTGCCTGGCAAAGAACCGAGAGTTCACTCCGGTGGAGGTATTTTTGGTGTCTTTGTTTACTATTCACTTTCTTAAGTTTTGCTTCCATCCCATATCGACTATATTTGGACATATCTCGTGTTAAATAAATTTTATCGGAGGTTTTTTTGGGTTGATATTCCGTTTTTTTTTTTCGCTGATGATAATTTCTGGGGAGCTTGGATTTGCCTGGGTTAGTAAAGTGATTTCTATGTTCCAAATGCCATTACCAACCTTCTGCAACAGGTGATGCCGGGCGGGTCGATGAAGATAGTGAGGGAGACGCCGACGTCGGCGATAGTGAGGTTCAAGGCGGGGAGCGTGGAGCCGGCGCATCACCACACATTCGGGCATGATCTTGTAGTGCTCAAGGGTAGCAAGAGGGTGTGGAACCTCACCAAGAAGGAGAAGTACGATTTGGTCGTGGGCGACTTCTTGTTCACGCCAGCCGGGGACGTGCACCGGGTCAAGTACTTCGAGGACACGGAGTTTTTCATCAGGTGGGATGGCCACTGGGATCTCTTCCTCGACGAGGACCTTGCCGCTGCTCACGCCGCCATTGAGAAGGACAATTAGATTATGAGGAGTGAGGTGGTATCTTAAATTTCATGCTTGGTTTCTGGATTTGAACATTAACGTAAGTTTGCGTTTCTGAACAGTTGTTGTGTTCTTTTTTAGTCCTAAGATCTGCCATGCGTGTTCCTCTTTGCTGTTCTCTTTTGTGTTTAGTTGATGAGGATTCTCCGGATCTGAAATGGAGATAATCCGCTGCTCACGCCGCCATTGAGAAGGACAATTAGATTATGAGGAGTGAGGTGGTATCTTAAATTTCATGCTTGGTTTCTGGATTTGAACAATAACGTAAGTTTGCGTTTCTGAACAGTTGTTGTGTTCTTTTTTAGTCCTAAGATCTGCCATGCGTGTTCCTCTTTGCTGTTCTCTTTTGTGTTTAGTTGATGAGGATTCTCCGGATCTGAAATGGAGATAATCTGAACTCTGCCGCTGCAATGGAAGGTCCAAGTTCTCAAACCAATAATTCATTTTATTCTTCTGTCCATTTCTTTATTTAAATTATTTTGGACACCCATTTTAAAATTAAGGTTCTGATTTTTAACACCTATCTGATTAAAATAATCTCCCGCATTTCACACCCTAGATCTAGATGGGGAGCGTGTCATGCGTAGATAATTTCTGGTTTTGACCTTGCCATCCATTACTTTGCTACAACTTGATGCAGATGGGGTACGATGATCAGATTATTCACAGAACTCTCATGAAAATAACTAGATTATTAGCAATAATTTCTCTTGACAAGAGTGTTTGACTCTGTTAGTAATTACTGAATATGTAAAACATCAATCATAGAACTAAAACCGAGATTTATTAAGGGCATTAATAGCCCACTATTAACCATTATGGACTGATCTATCCAATACAAGAAGTAAGAATGAGATGCCTTGAGTCGGGCTCGAGATGATATTTAGACAATTTGACTTTCTAAGTTCCGATAACTTCAAATCTCTCACACATCCCATGTTTCTAAAGTACTATTCGTCTTTAGTTCCTTTTAAAAAAAAAAAAATCTATTCATCTTTTGGTATTGTAATCAACAATTAATGTTCTTAGAATTACGTGTAATTCCATATAAATTACATGCATAATACGAGTGCCTTGTAACTCTGATGGGTCGTCTATCTTCTAAGATAGTGGAATTTTGCAATAATATATGAGATTAGACAAGACTCAACTCATCAGTCATATTCGGAGCAGATCCAGCGAGTCCGTTGATTTCAGAGGCAGCAAGCTTTTTCCTTAACGCTGTCAATTCCTCCCCAGCCTCACATACATAAGCAGAGGCTTGTCTTCCAGAGAGAGTAGCCCCCTCCATGCTATCTATGTAATCCTGCACAAAGGGGCACCCCCCAAAAAAAAAAAAAGAAAAGAAAAAAAGAAGGTGACCATCTAAAGTCAAATGTAATCTGTCATGAGAGAAAGAAGCCATTTACAGGAAATGCGCCAAGTGGCTAGGCTAATTATCCCTGGAGGGTTGCTGAGTCAAATTTTATTCTTAATCTGTCGATATAAATGGAGACTTCACCAAAAGCTAATATTAGAACCGCCACTATCACCTGCCATTTAGTGACATTCATGTTTTCAAAAATGATGGTAATGTTTATCCAGCAAACCATTTATAGATTTAGAAAATTTGGCACTAATTGTCAATTTTCTAAACATAAAGTTTCTATGTACTTTGGTTTTAGAGGAACGCATTTGCTATTCCGATTTTCATTATCCCAAACAAGTTTTTTGATATTATTTTCTTTGAAGATAACAAGATGGCCCTCTTCTTTGAAGATGAACAAGATGGTTCTCTATCTCTTATAAACATAGACGTCTATCAAATACAACCTTAACAATGGTTGATATCAATTTTGATGGACAAAAACTCCAGTTCAAGGTTGGACAGATAACATTTTATCACTATCATCATAAAGTAGGTGAAAATCACCTGCTTTGTGTATGATCCAGCAAGGAAGAAGTTCTTCACAGGTGTCTTCTGATCAGGTCTAAACGGATCTTTACCAGGTGCCTCACGATATAAAGATTGACCAATCTTGACCACAGATGACCAAGTAACTTCCAGACCTTGCGATGATGGGAATAAAGCCAAAACCTAATATAATATGCGCCACATTCAAATGAGAAGCATGACTTCAAAAAGTTAATCCTTGACTAAAATCTGTTTCATGGTAAATTGCATGATATCAGCACCAGACTATGAGTAATCTTGTTGATTAAGTGCAAATTGGCAAGTAGAAATATGGAGAAACTGAGAATTATTCTTAAATAAATCCAATTTCCAACACTGAAAGTGTAATACAACGAGATAATTGACTTTTGAAATTGGTAGATATAGATTTTTCCTGGGGGTAATCTTTACTCCCATGACCCAAAACATAATTGTGCCCGTCATCTTAGTGAATAATACTCTAAAGGTTCAAAAGTAAATAGAAACTAATCTCCCATTTTTAAATTGCCCAAGCCTGCACGAGCAAAAGAAAGACAAGTGGAGGTGACTCCACATTATTTTTTTTCTTGTTGTACTTATTTTACATTATGCTTACCAGCATATATGTATATAGTTTTGTTGCCTTTCCCGAGATCATTTCTGCACTATCAAATGTTTTTCTAAGAAGAAAATTCCTTCAACAGAGCAAAAGGCTCCACGTGGACATATATGTAAATTTTCTTTCCTTTTTTTTTTTTTAAAACTAATGTGTGGCACAGTGGTCACTACATAGAGCACAAAGCATATGAAATATTTTCCTTTAAATTTTAAATGATATATACTATTATTATAGTAGATCATGATTATGATTATTCTTCCTATTGATTCCACCCATTATTTCTTATTGGAAGGATGCGTTGAATTGACCACCTCTTGTTGCATCTTTATTTTCTACAACCCTCTATCCTCAGATAGGTTTCCTCCACCCCCAATACACTGAAAAAGAAAATTATTGAAGAAAACCCTTGCTTCCTAGAATCAAGTGCTTGTTACACAAAAATTTGCTAACAAAGTTACCTGTTTTGAAACTCTCTTTATAATTTCATCATTTGATAATGGCATGTAGGGGTCACCAGGTGTAAGGACACATCTGCCAAAAAGAAAATTAAAATTAAAATTAAAATAGCACTCTGATAGATGAAAATCGGAAGAAAGCTTGATTTAGGAAAATAATTGTGGCAGACATTACTCCTCTGGATTATGTTGACATCAGATTAACATTATAATAATTGTGTTATAGCATAACTAGAATAATATAGGAACCTCACAGCTTGTACTGGAAGAAAAACTCACCTTCATTTTAGAGCAAAGGGGTTGAACATATACTTGCAGATCAAATTACTAAAGTATCCACATTATTATCCTTTAATAGATATTCATCAATCAACCGGACTACAGGTGCTCCTGAGATTAATCATTAATTTCAAGTTAATCACCGTGTCCTTTTTTTTTTTTTTTTTTCCTTTTCTGGTGCAAATAAGGGGCAGGGTAATTAAAATAGTGCCTCCTATTCCTACGAGGCTTGAACCTCCAACCTCCCATATAAGGGTGGGGATTACATGTACAGTTTATTAGTTGCATGCAGTCTCAAGAAATGGAATCTTCGTTGAAAATAAGCTTGGTAACTTAACCATAATGGGACAAGGCATAATTGTCCATGTCTATATGGGTGGTTAAAATATGTTTTTAAATTATAGACAAATAAAAGGCTGTCCGACCTTCTTTTTTTGTGGTCAACAGGGCTTTCCAACTATATAATGTAGCAGATGTCACAGTTTATTCATGTTACCTTTCTGCATAGGAATTACTACTAAAAAGGCACCTACTTTGATAAAACAACAGTAATAATAGAAAATAATAAGAAGATAATTTTCCTTACTGGAGCAATGAGCCTTGTCCTTCAATGTAGTAGTCTTCCGGGGATGCAAGAGCAAGGTCTGCAAAGCAAGAGAAATCTGCATCTGGTGTGTAAAGGAGATTATCCAACCCAGAAGCTTGCCTTAGTTGCCTAACAATGCAAAGCAGAAAATGTTTACTTTAAAAAAATGCAAAAATAATTTATTTTTCATGGTCGTGATGGGTGGAAGCAAGTAAATATCATCATAGATTCTGAATTCACATTTACAGACTGATAATTTAAATACAGTAAAGCATCACCTTGATCGTTCTAAATCCTGTAACTCAGTGACCCAACCATTGTATCTAAGTTGCACTGTGACCACAGGTACTCCAACTAACTGGTAAATATTGTCAAAGAATTCCAACTCCCTCCACTGAGAGGGCAATAATCTTTTGATTCCAGGGACATCACATGCTGAGAGGGCAAATTTTATGGTTAAGCACATTGTCATAATGCATGTAAAGAGTGAAAGTTATTACTGCAGAAAAACCAATAACAAACCTGCAACATAGGCATCAGCTTTCACAATTTTCTTCTGAGTGGCCTGAAAGTTTGAAATAAGCAATAAGAACCAATCATTCAAGAAAATGCATAACAAGATTGGCTTATGAATGCTCCCAGGTCAAAATGTTGCATCAGATTTATTAGATTAATAATCTTGATCATAGAAATGCTGCTCAAAGAATTGGATTACAACAGAAGTAAGATTTCACGATAACATGTAGAAGCATGCTACCTTTGACATGGCAATCCCTGTCACATATGTCTCCCCATTATTAGATCTCTCATAAAGTATCTCTCTGCATCCCCATCTTAAATGGAACCTATTCAAGAGACATAAAATTTTTCTAGTTAAATATTTGACAATTATAAGGGAAAAAGACATAATTTAGATAGTATTCTATCACAGTACCTGCCCCCTTTGTCCATGATATACTGTTTAATGGGGCCACTTAAGTAAACATCAGGAGATCCTTTAAGCATGCGCAATAAGGAAGCCTCTGTTTTAGTGGCAAACAATGCGAATATAGTGAGCATACAACGTGCACTGATATTATCGCAGTCAATAAACCCGAGAGCATAAGCTACAGGATCCCACATTCTTTGGATACTTGCACGTGTGCCACCTTTGGACAAGAACCAGTTGGAAAAGCTTACCTGCATATCAATTAAATATGTCATAAACAGGAGAGTGCAATTAAGAATAATAATATGTTTTGTGTATCAACATGTATGAAGTTCCCAAGGAAACTGTGACCGACGACCAAGTGCACTAGATAAAAGGTTATCATTCTTACATTATCCAGATCCCGGATGTCTTTCATTGCTCCATCTGGATTAACAAGAGCCTTCACAACTGGACTTAAGGCAAGAGCCATAGCATTTCTTGCTTTATCGTAAGTCTGCACTCCAACGATACAAAAAGAAATAAACTAAACTAGAAGAACATAAGATATTATTGGCTTGAACTTGAAAATATTCATTAAGAGTCTTTTGAAAAACATCTGGAATTCCTGTTTCCATAACCTAGCCTAAAACTAAAATTGTGTTTGGCAAATAGTGACAGAAGAAATATTCTATACAGAACTGGGTATAAGATAGAATACTAAAAAGACCTCTCTCGGGCAAATTATCCTTACTCTTTATGACCAAAAATAAGTGAATATGCAATGCAACCAATTATCAAAATTCACGAGTTCCAGACAAAGTTGGCATACAAGAACCAGCTAGGAAAGAATTTGAGGTATTCCTCAAGTTTGGAGTTATGTATGTCATGCCACTAAGATACAAGTGGCAAAACAGAGTTTAATTTTATGTTGCTATAGTTGTATTATCCAGCAAGTAGAAACGGCCACTTAGGGACTAGAAAATATTTGTTTGCATTGTAATGTTGACTTAATGAAGATTGAAATGGATTGAACTTATCCTCCAAGTGATAAAGAGGAAAGAGCTCCTGACTTATCTGGATAACTCCTGCTTACAGTTTGGATATCACACAAAAGGTTCATGCATAATAGGGTAATCAAGGATTTGAAGGAGTTATCTAACTGGGAAAACAATTGCAAACATGGTTGATAGGGGCTAACACTCTGAGTATTCTGGGAGGACGTGGAAGAAAAACATAAATAGATGCCGAAGAAGAATAAATGAATAGTTGTTTCATAGTGATCATACAACTCACAAACAGCGTTAGTTCTAGGAAATATCTATGGAACTTCTTCTCAGTTGAATTTAAAGAATCACTAGTTAATTTATACAATGAGTTATCCTTATGTCTTATCCAGAGATCCAAATCCTCTTGCCTCCGAAACATATATTATCCTGCAAACACCCACAATTAAAGGCCTTTCTTCTTAAGCACCCAAACACATAAAGGTACACTCAACTATGTCTTAATCAGAAGAGAACTTTCACCTCTCCCTTTCACTGATTTCCGTATCTCAAATATTAAAAACAACTCCATGTACACTTGAAAATCAGAATCTTATCAAATTGAAGAATAAATAGAAAAAGACATGGGGAGATTTATGGTTAATTAGATAAAGTCCCAAGCAACTTATAGTGCATATTATTTGCAGGTTCTTCATTTGCTCTTGAAAGAACAGCACCAAAGATAAGGCTACTCCAATAAACATATGGAAGAAAAATAAAGAAAATTGCTAAAAGGAAAGCATTATCATTGTATAGACAGGGCCAACACATATAAAAGAAGAATATATTGCCTGTAAAAAGCAGTTAAGTAGAGAAACTACGAAAATATATATTACATTAAGCTGATTTGTAGACAAGAATGCACGAATTCCATGTAATGGTGCTCCAATTGGAAACCTAAAATCAAGTTCTGCACAAGGGAATTAATGCATAAATACAATCTTATCATTTTGAATAAAAAAAATAATGAATTTAGATAATGTGCTTCTTAATTCAATATATATGAAACAGAAACTTAAGCATGAAGTCATACCACCAATTTCGCCCCCTTTGTTTACAAAAGTGTGTGTATGGTCCTTCACAAGTAGATTTTTATCAGCACCAACCTAGCCAAAGTTGGAATCCAAGAAAACAATCAGAGGTTGCTGTCTTAATGAGATTAATAAACCAACTACTTCATATAAAAAGCACTAGCAGAAAGCACGAAAAGGTTTTCAAATGAGAAATATATAGAACCAGCTAGGGTAACTGCAGATATAGTCGAAATAATGGACCGGCAAAAGTTGCATATTCAAAAGTTACATGGAGCATAATAGCAGATAAGCACAGTGATGTCAGGCAAATCAGTTGCTAATCACTATTACTTGCATAGAACCACACCTATACGAGTAATGGATACAGACTTAGTTATCATTTTACCAAAATTCTTATGCATATGATTTAGTTTGCAGTGTGCCATCTTGCCAGTAAAACATGCAATGAAAACGGCCTACAAAAAGGTTTACAGGAAGCACATAGTAGAAAGACATGATCATAACTAACTAAACAAGTCACTATAATCTCACATTCTACATCCAAAAGCCAAACCATAATTGTGTAGGTGCATCAGTGATAAACTCAACACACTGGCTGATAATAAGATTTATCACCAGAAAGTCTGCTCACAAGTGCACAAGCATAGAATCCTCCTGGCATGCTGAGCTATGTAGCATTATATATCTATTTCATTGTCTCCTCAAATGCAACAACAAAATCTAAATTTTCTTACTAACAGACAAAATTTAGCCCCTTGTTCATGTGCAAATAATAATCAAAAGCAAAAAAAGGCCCACATTCTGAATTTATTAGAATATAGACAATTGACCGTGCAAAAGACAATAAAGAGAATATTATAAAATTTATTACCATCAAAAATATATGGATCACATGACCTATAATATATATATGGTGCTCACCTGATAGTTCATGCTTTATGAGTATGTTAAATATAATTTGTTGCAATCCAAAACCATTTATTTACAGATAATGAAAGAAATCAATTCTAAATCTAAAATATAAAAAATAATAAATAGGAACAGGTATTTGATTGTCACCTTTTTCATCAATCGGAAAAGATTATTATAGCAACCAAAGAAAACATGAAGCCCCATTTCAATGTGATTTCCACGTTTATCAACAAAAGAACCAACTTTCCCACCAATGAAAGATCTGGACTCATATATATCAACCTGAAAACCAAACATGAAAAATTAATCTTACTGTCACTATAAATCAGGAAAATTACAAATTGGGATGAGGCAGACTAGCAAGCAAAGATGCAGATACAAAACAAGGATGCAGCTAAATGTGAATATGGCAATCTTTGGGAAGTCATAACATCAAAGTGACAAGCAAATACATTTTTACATTCACTCAATTAACTAGAAGAACTTATCTGTGCTCATGTCACAATTATATAGATGATTAATACAACAAACAGAAAGAAATCTCTTTTCATATGCAGACTAGAATTTTCCACTGTTTGTGTAACTGACAATCCTGAAGGAGAAGGAACTGACAAATAGAATTCACCATTATTTTTTTTAACAGTTAGCTCAGAAAGTTACTTCTTCAACTTCGGCCAAGATCCACATGTTTCAAGTAAGTTTAACCAGTAGATATTGCAATGTTATCTTATCTAAAAGTTAAGCTTTTAAAAAGTAACATAACTTAGTTATTCTATCCAACCCGCCTATGTGTGGGTAGATTTCCCACGTGACCAATTTTTTTTTCAATCCCACACTTACAAATATTAAAGCACTAATCAATAAGGTTCAACCTTTTGCCTACTCTAAACCCCCAGTACATATACTCTACTAGTATGAGAAGTTCCTAGTGTGAACTCAAGTATGGGCTCCCACCATATTAGATTGTGGACCATCACCTCACTTGGAGAAAGAAGGGAACATATTTCTAGAAAATAAACACATCCATTGATAAGAGCCTGAAGCATATTAGGTTATAAAATGATTGAAACATTACAGGATATATATGGACAGATCCACAAATACATGATGTGGGTTTGCCTAGCACAAATAATAACGCACTCAAAGTACCACTGCTTCACAAATTACAATTGCGGGATAATTTCAAATCATCTGGAGTCTGGACTGTAATATAATTGCACACGCATTTTTTCAATACTGCCAGAAGCAAGAAAGAAATGCAAGTATTCCCAAGGCAACTACATAATTTGAACAAATTTACAACAGTAGCATTTAAGACCCAAATGTCAGCATTGGTAGGCTCATGAAAGAAAAGAAGATAAGAGGAGAAGAAAACCTCATGCCCCTGGTCTAACAGCTCCACTGCAGTTGACATGCCAGCAAGCCCAGCCCCAATAATAGCCACTTTTAGTTTTGGCCCGCGATAATATTCAGGTTCTGTTGGAAACAACCCCTTTGGCGCTGAAAGGCATTAAATCCATTTTAGTAATGCACTGACAATGCCTTCCCCGGCAAGGGGGGGGGGGGGGGGTGATGGGAGGGGATGCACTGATAATGAGAGATAACACCTCAAACTACTGACATTTAAAATCAAATATGAATAGTTGGTAGGGAAGAATCAGCAAATCATATGCAAGAATGCATTCTTTATTGGAAATCCAACTAAAAATATGAGAGAATACCATTTTTTTAAAATCTTTCTAGATGTACTACCACAATTAATTTCTCCAAAGCAATTTGATTTTTTAAAAAAGGTGCAACCATCTGAAGGAAAAAACTGCAATAAGCATCATGGAGCTCTAAAAGATTCCCTCTTCCTGGTTTACAACGGAGCTGAGCCATGGACAAATTTATCATCTCTTTCTATTAGCCGGCTTAGGATTTAAAGAACAACGATAAATAGGGCAACCAGTCGACAAAAATAAGACGTTGGCAAGATTGTTTTTAAGCTCAACCTTATATCTCGCTCATGAGTCTTAAAACTTTATCCCATTTCACATCCTCCAGTAGCAGAAAGCAGATAACTATGCACAGGAAAACCAGCCACCTCTCTCTCTCCCCCGGGAAATTCACTTCGTAATCAAACAAATTAATTCAAATTCAATTCATACTATTCCCAATTCCGATTTATTTCCGCCCGAAAAGGGAAAAAAAGCAGTGTATCAGGACTCCGACCGCCCAACGGAGCCCGAAAATCAGAACCAAATATGTAAAAGCATGACAAGCAGCCACCGCATCATAAGAATAAATATGGGGAGATAAGCAATATATAAAAAAAGAAAAAGGGAGAAAGGATAACATGTACCGTTAATGCTCATGTCAGAGACATCGGAATCCAAAGAGGAGCGGACATCAATCCGGGTCCTCAAGTGGGTAGCCACACGGCGAGGGGAGAAGAAGAATCTGGCCGTGTCAGTTGGAATTCGAACAGCCGAAGTCGTAGGGAAACAAAGAGAAGAAGAGGCCATTGAGTAGGGAAAGTAAAAATCTATCTCTAATGAAAAATAAATTGAAATTGACAAGTCGAAGATGCTTCAATTAAGCAAAGGCCTGAGATGAGAAGCAGTTTAGGACTTCAGTAGGTCTGACAAGTAAATTGTAGAGAAGAGAAGTTGAAGGTGGGTGGGAGGGAGGTATCTGCAAGGGAGAAGATGCCCTGCGAGAGGGATTTGTCAGGACATGGCTTTTTTGTTTCATTGAATGTGAGAACTTTTTGAAAGAGGAAGCTTGCGTGTTCTTTTAGTGCCCAAACATTGAAGGAGTTAATGCGGTGGGGAGCAAATACAGTGTCGTTGCCGCCACCACCACTGGCTGTTGATGATGGTATTGGCCACTCTCTTTTCTAAAGTCACTAGAGGAGATAGAGGCACAGAAGGAGGCAGACGCGGGTTTGCCTTTGAATTTTGTAATGCAATAAAAATTTCGGTTATTTTACATATTTAATTTAATTATTGTATAAATCAATGATTATTTTATGCCAAGAGTTTAATTATTTTTTGAACTGATTAAAAAAGCCATTCTTTTCCGGATCATTTATTATAATAGAAAGATCTAAATTGTTTTAAAATTTCAATTTCACATTTCGAAATATATGATCATAAAAAGACTTTTGAATAATTTTTAAATGTATTAATAAGCAACGTTAGAAGTACCTTTTATTAAAAATTTGGTATGTAGAAACTTTTTTTAATAAGGCATCTTGAGTAACTTCTAAATTATCTTTAAATTGTTTCAATCAATATAAAATGGGAAAATTTGAGGCTTATTACATCAATCTTTACTTTAATAAACTATATATTATATTTATACCTTTACATTTAATAATATTTACAAAAATTGAACATTCAAATGTCAGACTTTATCTTAACAATCTTATAATTTAAAATAAATAACCTAAATATTAGTATTTTCAGGATAATGAAAGATAATGAGTATTGCTATGATTATTTTAATGCTTTTTGTTAATTTTTAAAATTTTCAAATAAAATAAACAATTATTTTCACTAATTTGTTTGTTGTTATTCTAAAGTACTTTTTAAATGTCTTTCCCCAAACCATTTTCATAAAGTCTTCCACGAAGGCCTTACGAAGAACTTTCACTTGCATAAAACCACCCAAAATACTACTTGACAACCAATAACAAGAGACCATGGGACCGAGAATCCTTCAGCACCAGCGCCTAAAGAAGAGGTTATAGGACCAGAATGTCCTAAATTATCACATTTGAGTAAAGCCAGAAGAACTCACAAAGAGATATTGAAGTCGGGGCTTCTTCCTTTTGCACTTGTATTTTACCGATTAACACAATTTTGTCAAGCCATAAACACCACGTCTACAGAACCCAAAGAGCCAGATAATAGACAAGATCCAACCAAGATTTCAAACGCAGGCAATTGGAAGTAAAACTCAGAATGCTCTCCCTCGCAAAACCCGCTTCAGAGTTCCAGTAAAATACGTGAGTTACCAAAATTCAATACACCCAAAAGAAGAAAAGTTTCAAATGCTGAAACTTGTTACTGAAGATTGAGCTCATATTCACCTCGAAAGGAACAACGCGGAATGATCAAAAAATTACAATCATCATTACATCTAAAGGTCAATTGAACTATGATGAGGCAGTAGTTAAAATTAAATGAACAAATAAAACTATTGAAGACTGCAAAATACAAATGCATTTTTCTGCATCATTGGAAATGTTGGTACAATTCCACAGCCTTTGCTTACAACCTTATTTCGATCCTCTGCTAACATGTAAAGTTTCTTAGAGATTTGCGCGCTGTTACAGATGTGCTGACTGCCCAGGATGTCCATAAAGAGTATTGATAACATATCATTCCATGCTTCCGACAGTCAATGGCACAAGCAAGACTGTGTATTGGGGACAGATAATTCACAAGAAGTTCTCTGCTTCTGCATCTAACTATGAACTGATTTACAAGGCATCATCTAATTCGTCTGGTACATGTAACTTCTCAATTGCAGCCTGTGTAATGACAAGGGTTAGGCTCAATTTCCTGGATATTCTAGAGCAAAAATGTACAGCCAATTTAGTATCAGAATTATTTCTCATGATACTCTCAACAAGAAAAGGCTTTTAAGCATACTTAACAGTAACCAGCCCGGAAAGAAAAATGGAATTACGACAAAAGGCAACCAGAGAAAGAGAGAGAGGTATGCAAAAAATGGAACTTGGGCAGTTTATCCAAACAGTCTGTGGAAAAGTATGTTCGTAGTCATTAGAGTAGCATTCCATATTTAACAGTCTAATATCCAACAAGACAACCAAAAGAGGAAAAAGGAGAGGAAATAACCTTAATGGTAGCAACATCTGTTGCTGGTGGTTTCAAATCAAGAGCTAATCCAAAGTGAAGCATCGCTTTGTCATACATATTTCTCCTTTTATAGATCTTACCCATCAAGGCATACACGCTGCTTTCCCGAGGGGCATACTCCTTAAGCTCTTCTAGAACTTTCAAAGCTTCTTCAAAATTTTCCATGCTCACAAGAATGTTGGCCTTCTGATACATGGGCAGGGGATTCTTTTTATCAGCTAAAATAGCCTTCTCCATCATATCCAATGCATCATTGCTTTTCTGTTAGGTGATATAGAAGCACATTTAGAGACCTGCAGAGTGGGACATTATTTTTCCAGGAATGGTATTATCAATAAACAAATGACCCTACCTTTAGAGCATGGAAAGCTGTTCCAAGATAAGACATTATAACTGAAGAGCGAGAATTCATTTGGAAAGCCATTCGAAAGTGATGCTCTGAGAATTCAAATTTCTCTTGCCGTAGGTAAATCATTCCAAGACCATACCAAGCGTTATAATGTCTTGCATCAATCCGAAGTGCACTCTGGTAGCTCTTTATTCCATTTTCAAAATCCTCTAATGCCACATATCTGCAATCAACATTATATTCCAAAGAGAATCAAAAGGTGAAATACACACACTGGGTTCTTATCACCTAAGCATTTCTCAACATGAGAACATCAATTATTATTTTATCTAAATCAAGAGGTAACATATCATACTCATGACCACAAAGAGTGTGCGCATATGCAAATCTTGAATTCAGTTGTACAGCCCGTTGGAAATTTTTAAGAGCAGTCTCATGGTCTTTCTGCAAACTATAGCAATTTCCCATAGCACACCTGCCATAACAATTTGAAACACAGTATGAAGCCACTGTCAATAACAAAAACTGGAAAATTTATTGTGCTACATAAAATCATATATAGAATGGACATTGTGACTTTATAAAATCCTAAATCATAGGCCCTTAATGCATTCCTTAATCAACTTACCAGTCATATATAAAAATAGAATTTTCTAAGGAACAATATAAACCATACAAGCATAAATGTGAAATATATATAAAAAAAGCATCCCTAGGCCATGAAGCTCCCAAAATTTGTAAGGTTGAGGGAGTGCATCAATGCACTCTTACCCTTGCAATGCTTATTTCCATTACTCAAACTTCTATATTTGTATCCATTGTCATGGAATCAACACAAACATTAGCAACCAACATGCCACAAGATCGAAAACGACCCAAAAACTTGTAAAAATGCGCAGAAGAAAATAAGTATCTCATGCTAGAATTCCCTTCACTGGTTGAACTGAAACTAAACCCCCACCTTTCCTTCACACACACACACACACAAATGCATGCACGGGCAGATAGACAAATAGATAGATGCATAGATGGAGGGAGAGAGGAAGAGAAAGAGTATGATGGTGTGTCTGAAATATCATGGCAAAACATACAGAGTAAAAAAACAAACTAAAGCTTACTGCTGATTTCACCATATACAAAAATTACCAAGACTGGGGAGCTAAGCGGTCAATTGCTATCAGTTCCTGTGCCAGGTAACTCAGCTTCATATCCTCCTTCAAATGCTGCAACAAGGTGAAAAAGTCTCAGAGTAAAAATTAATTATTTTGATTATCAAGCCTCTCATAGTTCCTAGGATGTAATGAAGCATATAGACATAATTCAAGACAATCAGGCAACAAGTACTACAGTAAAAGCTCAGGTCTAGAAGCTTGAGAACATGATTCAACTCCAAGGACAAAGAGGTCACGATTTGTGAAAATATTCCAAAGATCACAATATAACAGTGAATTAAACAATGTTAATGGGCTTTGTTTAGGAATTATAGATAACTATCATGTCTGAACAATTTTAAACACCTCTGATTAGATATTACCATATGAATAGTCATGTTTAAGAAAGTAATGACAAGACAAAAATACACAAGAAAAGCCTCTGCTCCAAATGTGAAACAAATGCTATTATTCCAACATATAGATTTGCTCACATTGTTAAATTCCAAGAAAATTTTTTTCTAGAAACAAATGAACAGCAGCATAAATGCTTTTAAATAGCAATGGTGATCATGCTAATAATGTAGTCCACCTAGTAGCAGATTATCCAATTATGTTTTGCTACACAACCAACCCACTACTAAGGCTGGCTGAAATACAAGTTTCCCCCAAGGCTGAGACTAGGCATATAATGTTCGGCACAAACAAATTATAGGACCTTATGGCCCAATAGCTATAGAAAAAGGTTTTGCCACAAGAACACATGCTTCTGCCAATCCTTGGCATGATAGAATTCACACTATTTTGGAATGTTCTTAAAACCCCGTTTGGTATTGTTTCCAAGAACTGCTTTTTTCCCTGAAAGTAGAGAAAATGAAAATTGATATAGAAGACATGTTTGGCATATTTCAAAAATTATTTTTGCACAAAAGAATAAAATCATTTCCATTTTCAGGAAATGACTTTTTATTGTTTTAAGAGATAATGTACAGTGACAAAGATAGACATGCATACATCTTAAGAACGAAAAGGGGGGAAAAGGAATAAATGCTTGTAATGAAAGGGAAAATAGACATGCAATAGTGCAAAAACGTTATAGCTCATCCAAAAGTGAAAGAAACTCACATATAAAACTGTAGAATATATATCCATCCCTTCTAAACTATAAGGAGAAGCTAAGCGAGCAAGATTGAAGACACGATCAGCTTCTAGATAATCCACCAATTCAAAGTATGCTTTCCCCACCTACAGTTACAAATAAACCTCATGAGAAATTAAGTCGAAATAACTTGCTGATGGCAATAAAAACTGAAATTCCTAGTCATCAGGACGTAAACAATCTTGAGATTTAAAATGAAAAAAGAAAATTTAAAAATGAAAAAGAGTGATGCCATTAACATGGGAGATTACACAAAATACAGGAAACATGATTTCTGTAACTAAACCATAGAGATAGAAACAAGAACTTGAAACACATTCCTCACCAAGAAGGAATTCCACCAACCAAATCCTAACCCAGAATTCCTATCCCACCAAGAGGTGGCCACTGTCACTCCGACTTCAGGCTAGAAGATTACAAAGAGAATCCTCATCTCAATCCAAGGCATGCCCTCATCAATTAAATATATGGTACACAAAGTAAATATAACATATTAGTTAATTAAGCAAAACTGTTAACTTGAGGATCAGAAGGACTTTCTTTGGTAATACTAGGCAACAGGTGGCTAAATGTGACTGTTCTTTTGACAAATTCCAATGCCACTATTACTGCCAGTTTTGAATAACCCTTTCAACATAACCAACTTGGTAACTATTGAAACACAACTATTTGAGGTGGATTAAATGAAACTCACAGAAATCAAGACAACAAGATCTTATACCTATCCAAGCTTATGATAATAGTCAAATGAAAATTTCATTTCCTTTTCAAGGTCTGACTGTGGCAGCTGTGAGGGTTAGGTGCAGGCATCTAAACTTTTTCTTGTTGCAAGTTCGAACACATGAACAATATCCAAAAGGTTCTGAAAGGTTAACATAAAGTATGGCAACACATTATAGGTAAATTGATCCTCAATTCTCTGATATGCGAAGGCATTATCATTAATGTAAACTCAACACATAACAATTGGCAAGTAAATACAACTTTCTTCACATTGTCTAAAGAGCTTCAAGTGCCCTTGCCATATATTTCTTCATGGTTGACAAAATACATGTATTGAATGCTGCAACTCAATGTACAGATTGTATAACCCAGCAGAAAGATATGGAAATAGTGTGTGTGTATGTTTGTGTGTACACACACAACACAAAACACTGGAGCTGAGAATAGACATATTAGATCAAAATGTTATGCACCAGATATATATTCCATTGCCACACATTGTCAGATGGCAGTCAATGTATTTAAAGAGTTGAGGCATTTAAAGTCATAACCATAAAGGCAGATAATCAGCACAGTGGATACAGATATGATCCAACAAGGCAGAATATTGGAAACAGATTACCTGAGAAAGCACCCAGCCTGTGTTGTAATGTTTGTGTGGAAGTTTCAGGAAAGCATCCAGCGCATCCTGTTCTACCAAGAAGCACCAATAAGATAACCAAACCAGCAGAAGGAAATAAGAAGAAATTTGTCTATTTCTTCAACAACTAACATATTATACCTGGCAGCAATACAAGCAAGAAAGCCTATAGCCTTCTCCAAGCATTCTAAAGAGATCCAATAATTCTGTAGCACCAGCTACGACTCTTGCACTAGTAGTAACAACCCCATTCATGGGTATAGTCACTCCTTGTTCAGGAAATCTAATATCACCAGGAGACGAACTTGAGGTCGTTAAATTTGCACGCGAATCATCACGAACCTCATGGCGTATCCCTGCAAACAACATACAATTTGTTTCTAACATTTAGTAAAAGCTCATGCCAGTTGCAATTAATACTGAGCCATTGAAAAAAATTGATGCAGTGGGGTTTTATGAACTGAATCCCAAAGGCTGCCTGACTGCTTGATGACAGTTTTCTATAAATAATTTGATATGTGCAGTAGCACCATCTTGAGACTGAAAAATGAAGATCAGCAACCATTTGATCCTCATTCAACTTCAATTTTGGACAAGTACATGTTAAAAAAGAAAGTTCCACTTACAGGCAAAGGAACATAGACACCAAAGTTATACTCACTAAACAATTATGCATTTGGTATTTTCTTTTCTCAGAAAATAGGACATGGCAGAAGATTAAAGGTTGCAGCAAACAATCAGCATGTATTAAATATTTTTAAGGAACACAGGATAGTGAAGAAGAAATGTACAAGGAATTCAGTATTCACTAGTCATTAAAACACAAAAATTGACACCCCTCTTCCCAACCCCAATAGAGTAGGAGGGGGAAACAAGAGCAAAAACAAAAACAAAACAAGATAAACCAAATAAGATATCAGATGGGTTATTTAATGCATCATAATTCATAAAATTTAAGATTGAGAATTTTTTGAAAGTTCATGAACAGCAAGCATTCAAGAAAATCAAAGACAATCCGTTCCCCCTTATTCAATGTTGACATTGTCACATACAAGTGATGCCCGAAATTTTGCTGGGCAACCAAACCTGACCACTTAATCACATTCAACAAGCTGGATTCATAAGTCTATTTTTGTTACAAGAATCTGTTGAATCCTCTATAATGTATGGTGTTAAGTGAAGCAACTGCACCATAATATCAAATGACAATAATTCAGATCTAGATGAAGAGGATACAAAATCATACTTCACATTACAGAACCGGTATGCATCTTTAAAAAGATTCATCACCTTCATCAAAACTTTCATTGGTCCAAGACTGTCCCTTCCGAACAGTCACTGAACGAAATGTCACTGAGCTCAATTTAGAACTACCAAGATATTTAGAAGATTGGCTAGGTCCATTTCCAACTGCAGCTGTGGAACTTGAGTTTGAGCTAGGCACTGCTTCTCCAGCAAGTCTTGTGCTCCGTCGAGGCCCAGAATCAGAAAACAACCTCCCTGATATCTGAAAGCAGTTGATTCAAAGAGATGAGATGCTTTATTAAAACCCAATTAGGAATGAAAGGGACATGCCAAAAAAGCTTTTGACGCAAAAAATTAGGATTGTACATATTAATATCTGAAATGCTATTACTAAGAACATAAGTGTATGCCAGTGTAAGAAAAACAATCAGGAAAAAGTGGAAGATGGGTGCAAATTTATCCTCCACCAACACAAAAAAGTAAAATTTAAAGAATGATTATGAATAGCAAAAAAAAAAAAATGTTAAGTCAAAGCACAAAGGCGTATAGCATATGAAGCAAACTCGGTAGTCATGGAAGGGAAGAGATGAATAGCAACTAATTTACCACAAAACTTTAAAAGGGAAAAACAATACATAAGCCAAGTTTACGTAGAAACAATCAACAAATATGAAAGAGGTGTCATAGCCAGTGTGCCTGACTCCCTCCATGCCAAAATGGAATTATGGAACTGGTATTATCAGACCGGTATTATCAGAGCAAAAAAATTCATTCCTTAGATTTGAACTTTAGATGCAGGTTGGAAACTTTTAAATGTGTCCGTAGATACAGGATCTGACTTCAGAGAGTAAACCTTAACTGAGATATTGACATGAGAAAAGAAGTGATGCTATATTGGAAGACTTCCAATGGTAAAGATATGCAGCAGTAAAAATTGACATATTTTAATCAAGCAATATCCAAAAAATTAAGTTTATAACCTTTCTCAATTTTCCTTCATCCACAAACTTTCTTCGAGGTGCTTGCATTGTTGAGTTCACAATGGACCTCGGCGAACCATCCATACTAACTGCATTAGGGTTTGGACAGTTAGGCGGCACATTTTTGCACACCGGAGGAGGGGCAACACCTGACAGCTGGAAGATATAGAAGAGTTCAGCACCGGTATACATCCACACTTCCAACAATAGATTAGAAATATGGCATATTGACTTTGAGCACAAAGGCAAATATGGCAAGCATTTTTAATAGGAGAAGAATGTTGACAATAAAAGAAACCTATACAAAATTCAAAAGCAAGAATTATGCATAAGTCAACTTGTAACATTCCACCCTTCATGAGTCAAGAAATAGGCACAGCATTTTCTTCCAAATATACACATTGAAATTGATGTTATTTTGTGAAGTAATCAAAGAGCAAGACATCAAATAAAGAAGCAACAAAAGGGTCTAATCTAAATCCCTACTTTACAAACCTGGGAGAAAAAATCTCTCCACAACTAAGTTAAAGTAAATTCTCCATCAAAATCAGGCAAAATTCCCATTTATGAACTTCCACTTCCATTAAATATCTATTGCAATCTCTCTTTTTTAAAAAAAACAAGATCAATTTTCTCTTTCTACATGCAGATTTAGACCACTAATTGACAAAAGAGATCATGTACAGTTACTTTTTTTGACCTTTCATAGCATAGACACTCCATAGATAATACTGACACATTCTTAGATAAATAATACAAACATGTTCTTAGATAAGAAACTTTAAAATTAAGACTTGGTTTTGAGATCATTTAGTGGCATGAGAATTGGTATTTTTTCTATTTAGTATAATTATATTTTAAATGGTGCCTCACTTCATTGAGGTGAGTGCCTAGAATGACACCTAGTTCCTTGGGCAATAGGAAAGGTTGCACCTATTGTTTTTTTTAGCAACATTGCGTCAACATACATCATGAAATATAATATCCCAAAGAAGTTCTTTAAATTTTGCAAAAACACTAGAAAGAGCCATAACAACTCCCAATTTAATGTATGTCTGTGTGGGAAGTCGGTTCTCCTTTCAAAATCAGCTTAGTTTGCTGCATGATTCAACCTGGCAACACTGAATTCATGACAGCACAAAATAGAACTGTAAGACTGCACATGCAACTAAAGATACATCAAACCTACAAAGGAAAGCTGATAATTACCAAATCTCACCTGTGCAGCCATTGGTGAAGGAGTACTATAGAATGATGTGTTAGAAGGACCACCATTTAGAGGTTGACTGGCAGCTCCTCCAGACATAACTGCTCCATGATAATTACCAGGGATATCTCTGACATTATTGGCATTAATGTGTCTAACATCCCTTGGACTAATGTCTTCTGAGCCAAAGTTTCTATTAGAAGCCACATTTTGATCATCAGAACAAGTCTGCGCGGTTTGATGAGCCAACCCATGATATGGATACTGCTTCTGAATACAAAGAGCAGCCTCTTCACCAAAAACAGAAGTTGCTTCTTCGGCAGCACCTAGATTATTTTTTTAAAAAGAATATCCATGAGAAAATGAATACAATTTGTGAAAAAATAGTATGAACTAGGCTGCCAAACGGAAACCAAACTACACCAACTTCTTATCCACACAAAGCTGAGAAAATTCAACAATTGGTAATAGATTAAAAAAAATAAAAATCCGTCCAGCAGATATGGAACGTACAGCAATAACAAATGTTCAGAAAATCATAATTTTAGCTGAAAGGAAGTATTCTCGTCCTAAATGATGGAGTTAGAACATAAAACTAATCCACAAAACAACAATCTATGGGAAGGGAAACAATCACATTTCCTATATTCTTTATTAGCATTTCCAAGTTCCATATCCTTACCCTCAGAACTCTTTGCTATCACCACAAAAGTCTCCACAGATAGGGAGTAGGCAACCCCTTTTTGGAATTAAATTGCCATCCCAGTCAAAATATCAGAAGAACAATTTTTAAATCCTAGTCAAAATATCACACCAGGAACAGGAAGGAGGAGGACAAGTGAAGCATCAAAATCTTATATTAGGCATCAAATCAAATGTAAATCAAAATCCCTCAAATCAGGAATGTCATAAAATGATTACACGGATTCATCCCCAGGAATGCCATTCAACTTCCATAGCTAACTTCACATTGAAGATGGCATATACTACAAGACAATTTCACAACATGCAATGAAAACAAAATATTACAACCAAAGCATTTTTTTAAATGACAGGTTTTTTGCCACATTTCTTATAAATGGACTCAGCAAATCTACTCAGTGCTAGAGAAACTAGAAACAAATATACTCTTCCAGATCAATCAGACTAGGATCAGTCTTTCCAATACCCATTACAACTTCTGATGTGAAAGTAAACTCAAACATTTCAGATCATGCTGCCTAGATAAACATCCTGAACATAGGCCTCGCGCCCATGAGGTGAAAAATAAAGCAAAAAAAAAAAAAAATCAACTTAGGCAGACTACTACACAAGGATAGCTGGAAGCATGGTTAATATAAGAAGACAAACCTAATATACACAGCTCCTCATATGCAGTCCACAACAATGGATCTATTGACAATGCCTGCTTAAAATGATGGATGGCACTTTTCCTTCTATCAGTGTACCTGAAATCATTTTGATACCAACAAATGGGCATAAAGTGTTCGACATTGATAGCTCCGAAAGAACATAGACCTCCCACATCACCATCACCCAGGAAAAAAAAAATCAACAAGAAAAGCAAATAAAATAGCCAGATATAAATATTATAATGTAGAAAATTAGAAACTTCATAAATATGTAACTACCTGTAAACAAGGCCCAGAAGGTAATGGCCAGCTGCGCCATTTGGAACCTGTTTAAAAAAAATTATTAAAAATGTAAAGTGTCCCTCTTTGTACCAAGCATTTCGGCAACCATCCATAAGAAGTTAACTCTCTCTAAGCAACCACATCAGATATGTTGAAAAAAGGTTCTACAGAGCAGTTCCAGTCAGTACCTCTGCACCAGGCTCATTGGAAGGACATAATGCTGCTTCAGCTTCATTAAGAAGATCCATTTGGAAACATGATATTGCAAACAAGTAGCGTGATTGAGCCATTTGTGTGCCTACAAATATGAGAACAATTAAAAAAATTACAAATTGCAAGCACTCTACCATACTAAAGGAAATAAATAACAAGAAAAGCTAATAAAATAAAATCTAGTTCAATTAGAAGAAACATTGTCAAGGAAATTATTTTAAGAATGATCACATAGCCCGAACAAGTGAAAAGATGAAATAGAAACGCATGTACGTACCCTTTAAAATATGATACGCAGAGTAAGCTTGATTGTTGTGCAAATAGCAGCTGGCTAGCAATTGCAAATTTATCTGCATTAAATTACCAATGAAGAATCACATAAATGACAGAAAGGCAGAATAATTATAAGTTCTCTCACGCAAAAAATAACAAAAGTTATTCGACTGGTTGTGCGAACGAGTTTAAGCAACGAATTATACAATTTAACAAAAAGGGTAATTTTCAAATGATCATTATGATAAGGAAACAAAAAATTCTGAAGTGTGATACAGGACGAGAGAAGAGGCAGCAGGCAAGAAAAAACGTACCTCGGAAGGGAACTCCGCGCACAAGCGTTCGCACATAAAAATGGCATTTCGGTACATCAAGTGACGCAGACTGTTGTGTACGCAGTCGAAGAGTATGGCCTCCATGGCCTCTGTTCAGATCGTATTATGATTGCACAAAGAACGAAAGAAATGAACTTCAGTTCTCGTAGGAGCCAATAAACGGGCAAAGTAAAACCCTAACGACAAATTACGGGGAGAGATTTGCGAATGAGTTAGGATTTGCCGGAGGCACTTTAACCTCCTTGTGTTACAACATGATGGTTTGATGCTTGCAGTGTACTGCTCTGGTTGCTTGAGTCGCAGTTCCACTGTTGCAGAGAGATACTGAAGGGAGTGAAGAGAGGGGGGAGAGTGCAGAGCTGTCCAGCCCTGAATTCAAATTTCTTCGCTTCCGGTTGGGTTTTGCATGCCCTTTTTTGTAATTTCCTTAGCGCTTCATAATTTGTATACTCTACATTTAGGAGACATTCGGGACAGGAATGAGATATAAATTAATAAATTTACGAGGAAATAAATTTTATCACAAGTTTGATTCAACAAATAATAAATAGAATAAAATTTTTTAAAAAGTAGGATAAAAATTTTAAATTTATCAAAACGTCCTTTCTTATATGAATTAAAAAAAAAATCAGATCCAACCAGTCAGATCAGGTCCCACAACAAAGCCCCCGTCTCTGTCCACCTCACCCCCATCGCCTGTGCCAACACCCAGTGACCCTTCCTCTACTTCACCTTCGCCCACGACATCTACAATTGCGATTTGCTGACCTCCATTGCAGATCTGGCCTGCGTCGTAGGCCATTCGGATCTAGCCTCCGTTGCAGGTGACGTCACTGTTTGCTCTGCGTCATCGTTGTCGTTGCGAGGAGGAGGTAGTTGCACGTCCTATGGTTTTTGACTGGATTTTGGCATCTCCATCCTCAGTTGAGAGTTGTTAGAGCAGGTATCGTCATCGTCATCATCATTGCAGATCTAGCCTGCATCATCGTCGGTCGGTTGGCAGTGGCTGGTTGTCTCTTTTTGCGTCGTCAGCAGTGGCAGCTCGGCTCGCAATCACAATCACCCAACACTTAGTCGTAGTCGAAGCGATGTGAGGAGGAAGAAACGGCTTTGCAGTCGTGAGAAGGACGGGGGCATTCCTGTTCGCCATATAAACTTTCAAACATTTCTCAGGGGGGATAAATTTTATCCCCCACCAACGGCATGATACCTAATCCAGGATACACTGATACATGTCTATATCTTCATTCGTTACATGCCAACCGAACGTATGTAACGACTGATAAAAGTTATCCTATCACCCCTTATCAGTCAATCCAAATGCCCCCTTAAAGTTCTCATTTATTATTTTATTTATTATTTGTAATATAACTAAATAATAAAAATATTTTATAATTAATTAATATTATAAAATATAAAGCAATATCAGTGAGGTAACGTGATTGCAGGTAGAGAAAGTGGAACAAATATATTAACAGAATAACAATTTATTTTTCTTTTTTTCCCACACATTTTATTAACTATTTCTCTAATTTATAGATGTACAAAATAGTCCTTAACTTACATGATACAAATAAGAAAAAAATGTAATTATACATATATTTATAGCAAAAAGATATATGTATCTATGCATACATACACGAAGGGAGAATGTATCAACATTATACATGAATACAGATTTACAAATATCTAAATGAATTTGTACATTTATTAATCTTTTAATATTTATAACACTCTTCCTTAGATGTCCATTACTTAAATAATGTGTCTCATTAAAACCTTGTTAGGAAATACCTAATGAGACAAAAATCTAGTGAAAGAAAAAGATTACACAATCTCTATAATATACCTTTGTATGTTGCCTCATTAAAAACCTTGCCAAGAAAACTCATTGAGACAAAACCATGGTCAAGGGGGAAAAAAAGAGTACAATGTATATCTTTACTCGCCATTACAAAAAATATTATTTAACATCATTTAGATAACGCATGCCAATTTTATACACTAACTTTTTAAATGTTACTATTGGTAATGCCTTTGTAAACAAATCTACTAGATTAGCACCGAAGCAAATTTGGAGCGAATTTGTTGGATGTCAGTATCACAATTTTGTTGAAGATCATGAGTGAAAAAGATTTTGGTGAGATATGTTTTGTTCAATCTCCTTTAACTGAGTTATACACGCTGTATTGTCTTTATATAATATTATTGGGAACTTTTCTTCTAATATTAAATTACACATCTCCTGGATATGTTGGGTTAATAATCTTAACCAAACACATTTTCTATTTGCCTCGTGTATCACAATTATTTTAGCATAATTTGAAAAAATAGCGGCTAAAGTTTTTTTTGTTGAATGCCATGATGTAGCAGTATCTCCACGCGTGAATAAATAACATATTTGAGATCAAGCTTCATGTGGATCAGATAAGTATCCAGCATCTGCATAACTAATTAATTGTGATCCGAATTCATTCAGATAAAGTAACCCCATATCAACAATCTCTCAGAGGCATTTAAGTATATGTTTAACACTAATCAAATATCTTCGTGTTAGAGAATAATTATATCTTGCTAGCAAACTTACACAATTCCACTGTTTTCGTGTTGGATAATAAATAAATCTTGTTAGCAAATTTACAGCAAATACTATGTCTAGCTGTGTATTATTAACAATATACATTAATACCCCCATAACATTAAGATATGGTATCTCAAGACCTAAAAGTTTTTCATTATTCTCTTGAGGACGAAATAGATTATTTTTTCACATCAAGCGATCTTACAACCATTGGAGTACTCAATGGATTTGTTTTATCCATATAAAATCGCTTTGAAACTTTATTTGTATAAATTGACTGATGAATAAAAATACCATTTGTTAGTTATTCAATATGCAGGTTCAATACAAAACTTTGTTTTTCCTAAATCTTTCATCTCAATTTTATTATTTAAACAATTAATTGCCTTTTGGAGCTCTTTAGGAGTACTAATAATATTTATATTATCAACATATACAGTAATTATTTCAAACTCTAATCTAGTTCTTTCTATAAAAAAACGAGCATATTTGATCATCTTTATACCCCTCGTTTAAGAGATATTTACTAAGGTGATCATACTGTATTCGCTCAAATTACTTTAATCCATATAAGGATCTAGGCAATTTGATTGAATAATTGTCTTAGAAATTTTTACATGTTTCAGGCATTTTAAATCTTTAAAGGATTTTCATATAAATCTCTGTATCAAGTTAGCCATATAAATTGGCTGTAACAACATCTATTAGATGCATTTCTAATTTTTCACGAACTGTTAAACTAATAAGATATCTAAAGGTTATTGAATCTACCATAGGAGAGTAGGTCTCTTTATAATCAATGCCAGGTATTTGCGAAAATCCTTGTGCAACAAGACGTGCTTTATGTCGCACCATTTTGTTTTTCTCATTTCGTTTTCACACTAATACCCATTTGTACCTACTAGTTTAACATCTTTAGGTGTTTAGACTATAGGTTCGAAAACTTCACATTTTAAAAGTGAATTTAATTCTTCTTGAATTTCATCTTTCCACTTTGGCCAATCATCTCGATATTGACATTTTTCAATAGATTTAGATTTAGGATCCTCATTTTCTTTCAATATATCAGCTACTATATTATAAACAAAAACGTTGTCAATAACAATATCTTGTCGATTCCATCTGTTCCCAATATTAACATAACTTATCGATATATCTTCATTTTCAATTGTTTTAGGTACCTAAATCATTTATAGGGTTTTATGATTAGTTATGTCTGAGGTATGTTCAAGAGCACCTGTCTCCATTGTATGACCATCTTACTTCATTTTTCGAGAATTTTTATCATTCAAACCTATTGGTCTATCGTATTTTAGACGTAGCTTACTGTTATTCGCAATGTCTTGCTATCTATTAGGACATTATTTTGAATTGGAGCATTTTCAGCTGGTATATGAGATTTGGTAATTCTTTTTAGGTTAATAAATGCGTATAGTAATTGATTCACAATATTTTGCAAATGAATTATCTTTTGAACTTTTAATTTGTATTGTTTTGTATGATGATCAAAATGTGATGATGATAATTCACTCTATGTAACATTTCTTTCCAACTACTTATCTTCTCCCCGTAATGTTAGAAAAATCGTTTATTCAAAATAACAATCGGCAAATCATGCTGTAAATAAATCCCTTGTTAATGGTTCAAAATATTTAATAATAGAAGATAATTCATATCCAACACATATTCCCAACCTTATTTTAGATCCCATCTTCGTGCATTGTGGTGGAGCAATTGAAACATATACATCACATCAAAAAATTCTTGGATGGGAAATATAAAGCTCCTGGCCAAAAGCCAATTGCAATGGAAATAATTTAAGATAATTTGTTGGCCTAATGCATACTGGTGTTGCTACATATAAAATAGCATATTCCCATGCCGAAGTAGGAAGTTTTGTTCTCATAAGTAACAGCCTAGCTATTAATTGGAGGCGTTTAATAAATGATTATGCTATACCATTTTGAGTATGACACATGTGTTTTAGGATGTTCAATAGTCATATCAATTGACATACACAAATCATTAAAAGTTTGAGACATGAATTTACTAGCATTATCAAGATGAATTTTCTTAATTGCATAATCTGAAATTTGTGCTTTTAGTTGAATTATTTAAGCAAGTAATCTCACAAATGCCAAGTTGCGAGTTAATAGTTAAACACATATATGACTAGTGAGTAGATGCAAATATTAAAAACTATAAAATATTTAAATGGTCCACATGACGGGTGAATAGGCCCACAAATATCACCCTAAATCCGTTCTATAAATGTAGGAGATTCATTTTCCTATTTTAATTGGTGATAGCCTAGTAATTAGTTTTCTTTAAGAACAAGTAGCACGAGAAAATTCATTGAATTGAAGAATCTTCTAGTTTTTCAAAGGATGTCTATATGAATTCTTAATTATTTTATGTATTATAATTGACCCGAGTGGCTTAACCGGTCATGCCAAATGATAAAAATATTTAAATCAATAAACTTCTAATTTAATATAACAAGCATTTCAATTGTACTAATATGTGTATAGTACAAACCTGGTGAAAAAAGTAGGTAACCTTTCGAAAGCACATTTCTTTCCAGATGCAGGTTTTGTAATATATAAATTTTTAATATTTTACTCATTTACAGTCTCAATATGATATCCATTTTTGTGAATATCTTTAAAACTTAA